CAGTTCTATTGGACTGCTGTTAAGGGGTACAAACTGTATTAAACTTTAAAAATTATTGAATAGTATAAAACTTTGACATTTACTAAATAGTAAGGAATTTAGGCCCTAAAACCCATTAATGTATTGGCGGACTGATACTAAAGCTGGTTGCCCTGTCAGTGCAAGTGAAAACATGTTGTGGTCGGTTCGTAAGAACTTCGAGAATCAATTTTTTTTCTTAACCAAATTAAAGATCCTTATGTGGAAGGCAGTTCAATCGAAATTAAGCAACCGAGGTGGTTCAATTAAACGAGTTCACTGTATATATATATATATATATATATATATATATATATATATATATATATATATATATATATATATATATATATATATATATATATATATATATATATATATATATATATATATATTTTTATATATATGTTATTTGTATAATGTTATATGTATATTTTATATATATATATATATATATATATATATATATATATATATATATATATATATATATATATATATATATATATATATATATATATATATATATATATATATATATATATATATATATATATATATATATATACAGTATATACACACTACTTTTTTTTTATGAATCGGTTATTTTGCTAACTGCTTTTCTGCTAACTAAAAAGTTAACTTCGCTAACACTAAACGGCTAAAAAAATAAGCGGAAGCTAACACTAACCGTTAACTTTTATTATATGAATTTAGCTTCGTTTTCTTTGGGGGTTTAGCGTTAGCGAAGTTAACTTTTTAGTTAGCAGATTAGCAGTTAGCGAAGCTAACTTTTCGTTTAGCTGTGCACACTACTGAAAATTACCAATATGCATGCTGGTCATTTTGCAAAATAACCGATTCTGCAAAAAATGTAACATATATATCCACACACACACTGTACTGTAATGGAAATTTTAACACTAGGATCCCAGATTCTACAAAATATTTGACTACTGCTCACCAGTGATGTAGTTAAGACCACGTAGTGTTAGACTGAGAGCTACACCACCCCTGTACACCTTCCCCTCAACACACCTGAATTATTAGTTGCGGTGCCAGAGTTTGATGTGTCAGTTGTCTCCTCAGTGGAGGTGTTTGCTAGGTCCTGCTTATCCATTTGGGCTCTTTGGCTGCTTGTACTCTGGAGTAAAAATATTGAAGTGTAAAGTCACTGGATCACCTGAAGATTACCCCCACGCAGCTTATTTCACCTGATGAAATACACCCTAATGCTACTGGGGTAGGGGGCGGGGGGGTAGGGAACACTGGGCTTCGCTTTGGTAGTGTTAAGGTGAAATGAGCTGGGGCTAATCTTCAAGTGATCCATATACAGTAACTATTAATATCTATTGAATGAAACCAGTAAATAAATGCCATTAAAGTTTACTAATTATGCCCATCAAGTTCGATGTAACTGACTATGTTTTAAGTTTTACAATATAGATTTAAATGTACTTCATGCATATTATTTTAAAATTCCAGCCAAAGTCATTGATTCTTGGGTCACGTTCTCCTTGCACAGAAAATGTCATAGGCCTGAGGCACCCTCTTGGGGACAGTGCAGTTACAGCACATCACAGGCAAAGCCTTTTTCCATGATACAAGAAACAGTGTGATCATAACTAAATTTAACTGCCTTCACTTTCACCATTGACAGTTGGTTAAACCGAGGTACCCACGGCACAAACCACCAGCCCTAAGAACAGGAGGTATGTCGGGTGTCCACTCAGCTGCCTCAACCATGTCACCACTTTATTTATTCCTTAATTAACCACTTATAGTTTTGCAAGCCTCCTTGTCAATTACACAGCTGTAAGAGATTAATTTGAACATAAAAACTTGCCTTTTCCTTATGTGATTTATGTGTGTCCTTATGTGCTACAACCTCCACCAGCTCACAATCACTACCTGTAAAATAGTACTCACTATAGTATTAATACGACTTGATCATTAAAATATACAGTACTGTATTTCATTTCTATTACATGTAAGGAATATCCAATAATCTATCATTATTATATCACAACTAAGCTCAACTGTTTTGTGTAAGAATAAAAATTTAGATAATTACAAACTTATATTCTGTGTTGGACTTAAGTACAAGCTGTAGCTGGAATTACAAGTTTGCAAAAAGAAAGAGTAAATATATTGGCATAAAACAAACAAGCAAGTATAGTATTATTACTCAGGTTGCTGCTCTTGCTGCCATTGGCCCAGCCACCAAATGCTTGCCAAACTCGCTCTAGTATGGATCCCGGCTGACTGTCTTCGTGCTTCTTACTTGGCGTTGCCTGGTTTATGCAAAATCATAAGTTTCTTATTGACCAAACTACTACTGGTAAATTATTTTGCTCATTTAATACCTTTGTTACATCCAACAAGAATAACAATGCACAGTAAATGTTTTCAGCATAAGTTTAACTTGCTCATTACACTATGGCCAAACCATCATACATACACCAGCCAAAAACTTGATCTGTCATACTGTATGTTCCAGCCTGAATACTTATGATATCTCAACTATTATGCAGAATATTATCTCTTATCATTTTAAAGTGGCCTATGATTAAAGACTGATTCAACATGTTTCTTAAACAAAATATTTCTTCATTCGTTATTAAAAAATATATTAACTCAATATCAGTTAATCTCTAAATACATTTGAATACATTTCTCTACTCAAAGTCACTGTCCTGTGTCCCGTTTGTATGATAATTTTACACTATGTACACTCTGAACCCCTTAATCCCTAGCTTCTTCAAATAACTTGTGGACCTTCTAAATTTTGAGTGAAAAACCAGAGATCTTAAACATATGGTTAAAACTTACCTTCTCCCCTCCAACTGGCAGAAGTCTTTCTGGAGTGGGCAGTGTGAGAGCATCTGAAGGAGACACGACCTCTGTGTTGGGTGAATCTACAGTTGTGCTCGTCTGGTCATCTAGCTCAACTGGTGATCCTTTAAACATGAATAACCATATTAATAAGAGAACTAACTATAAAATAACTGCAGAATAATAGTGATAATGAGAATCCATGTAAGGTGTTTCATAACTTATAATTTTAATAATGTTATGCCAATTACAACCAAAGTCTGAATATGTAGAAAATGAAAATAAACCTAACAGGCAATTCTTTTAAACTTTCTCTTATTTATAACATTTATAACAAAACAATAAGATAAACTGTACTTAAATACAGGTACAGTTTACTGTACTACTGTATTTTCATAAACTTTGTGTACTAGTGTAGCACAGTGGCATGACTCACTTCCATTTTCTCTTCCATTGGTTAGTTAGGAATTTGTAAGTTAACAAAGTTTATATTTATCCCATTTTTTTATGTGTTAACAGAATACGTAGTCTCATAAGTTAGTGAGAACTAATTCCTGCCCTTTGGAGCTAATTATTCTTCTAAGCAACCACAGTCTTCACCCAAACAAATCACCAATGAACTCTCGATCTTCTACCAGTTTTGCTTGTGACTGAACAGAACTCAAAACTTCGTGTGACGGTGTATTTCAAACCCTCCCTGCCTTTCCTCGCCTCATCACCTGTAAGCCTCTAGAACTCAGTGAAGAGCTCTCTTAAGCACCTGGGCCTTAACACACATTATCACCATCAACACGGCCATCATCATACCAAGTGTCATCAAGTCCATCATAGAAAGCGGAGACTGAGGAGATCGGTGATGTATATAAGCTGCATGGTCGGAATCTGGTCGCGGGTCCTTTGCAGAGACGGCTTCAATAACGGACGGATCATAAACGCTTGCTTCCGTGACCGTGGCCTCGGAAAAAACAACTTCTTCCATCTTTGGTATTTCCTGAACGACTGCTCGGTTCATTTGACGGCCCACACTACCATCTTTATTGCAGCCTGAGTCCATGGCCCCACATTTATCTGAAGATGATTAAACAAACAATGCTTTAAAAATCCGAATTATTGTTGTGAAGTCTCGGGTATATATAAAAAAAGTATTGTTAATCCAGTATCAAGAGTCACTAAACTATTAAGTACAGGTATCATAAGTTATCTACCAGGTATGAGGAAGAATTCATAACCTACCAAGTACCTAAAGAATCCTCGTGGCTTAGTGGTACCTTTGTCTACAACTTACCAGACTGTGTGTGTGTGTATGTGTGTGTGGGGGGGGGGGAATTGCCACATCGTTTTCTTTGTCAGTTACATTAACATTATTTTAAGTGTTTGCTGACAGTTTCCTGCGATAAAAAAACTTTAGGGAGTAAAATATTACCAAGTCCAACAGGCAGCAAGCGTTCTCTAGATGATACATCTGGGTTGCCATATTTTGTCTGGTTCAGGGACTCAATGGGTCTAAACCCTTCACCTGTAAGGAAAACATGACAATAAAGAACAAAAATATATTTATACAGTATATATACATTTTGCTTATTCCAGCCAAGAGAGAAAATTAACCCCTTGGGTATGAGGGGTCTCTCTATGCAGAATAAAAATGTTTAGCATTCTCCAAATAAGCTATTAAATGTGGCATCTAGTAGTGAAGGAGTTAAACTCACAAAAATAACATCATACTGCAAAAACTTAAGGCTGACACCATGGGATTCAGGTAATATCTAAAATCAGAAACTGTACAGTACATAAGTTTTCTATACATTCCTAAATTAGTCGTGGGAATAAGTATATGATTCACTCCAGTGGTCCCTTCTCATTAGGACCTGCAATAACCAATTTTTCCTTGCACAGAGGAATGCCACTGTATATAGTGTGCTAAACTAAAAAAAAAATGGCAATCTTGTTGTTTTATAAAATTTCTAAATAATCCTAACATATCTACTGAAGTACAGTAATGTGGGTTGCATGAATCACTCCCATAAACTTTGTTAGAATTAACAGCAAGTACATGTATAGCATTCACTTGTAAGGAAGTACAAAGAGGGAAAGATGCTAATTTTCTGAACAAACAAATAATTAAAAGGTAAAGAGTGAGAAAATAGTATTGACTGAATATAAAGTATGGTGTGTGAGTTGTGGTAAGTTACTACTATATGACTGGAGAAAGAAAACAATTATTGCTAGGAGAAACTTCCTCCTAGGTACAGCTTTCATGGCCATCCTACTTTCTAAAGAACCCATACAGTAGTTGTTCTAATTTAGTGCTGTAGTCTGAGATTGATAAATTATATCTTTGATGCCACCCTCTACTATAGCAACAAGACTAACCCGATGTAATTCGTCTATGAGGATGGGCAAATTTTGGAGAGAGGTGACTTCCTGTTGCTTTTTTCAGCTCCCGGCCATTTCCTTTTTGATGCTGAAATGAATTTAGTCTCACTGTAATATATGCTGACACAACAGCAAAGGGAAGATGCATAAAAATGATACTAATATTAAACTACAAAATTCAAAACAATATAATTTAAGTTGCATTACCTGAACATACAGTTTTATTTTCTGAAATGTATGGATTTCTCCATGTTTAAGAATACTGTACAAAGATTGTGGAATTCATTAAATAAGTAAAAACAAAAAAACAAACCCTAAATCTCTATAAAAATGAGACAGTAATTAGTGATGGACTCTAAAATACTCTTTTCATAATCAATTCTCTATCCAAATATGTATAGTATAGCATAGTCACTACCATGGGATGCTTAGCTGTTTGTCTTCTCATTGCTAATCCAATAACTACAAACTGCATTGACGGTAGAATGTTTCACTTTACGGTGCAGAGAAGAGGATCATGCAAGATTTTAAAGAGGATGAAATACAACAAGTCAAGACAGACTGAGAGAACACATGCAATTCAGGGATAGATTTGCATCATGATTTAAAAGTGGTGCCAAATATTAAATAGAAGATGTCTTGAGAATAAATGAAGAAATAGTGAGCAATTACAGGTAGTATATCAATTATCTGGCAACAGCAGGCTTAGGACCAGAAACAGACCAGATTTGGGAATTTTCTGAATTTGGTAAACAATGAGCCAAGAATATACATAAAATATTAAATAAAGTACAGTATGGGAATACAGTACAGTACATGCTGGAGGTGCACTGTACACTGTATACAAGTTTTCTCTTACTAAAAATAGGTAATAGATTGTTAGTTTATGAAAATAAGTTTAATATTTGTTAATATAAAAGTTGTGTTTATAAAAACCTATTGATTTAGATATCTAGCTATTGCGGGTGGTAAATTTGACCATATATTTATGATATTGTTTATCTCACTCCAGAATGTTCTCATTGGTTTCCCTTACAGAGAGAAGGACATTGCCACAGATGCCAAGCTCACCTCCTCTCTTGACATAAATTCCAGTCATGCTTCCTCTCATAGGGGAAGTAGAGATGATTAGGCATGGTTGTATCCTCCATATGTACCTTCTCTCACACTACCCAGAACCACTGACTGACTGACGTAGGGATGCTCCCAGATGCCTGTGCCAGTACTTCAACATCTTTCACTAATACAAAAAAAAGTAACACTGGGGTTTTCAGTCATACAAAAAAGGGAAGGAAAATGAATCACAATAAACACCATGGTGTTGGGGGTAGATCATGTGGGTTTGGTTTGGTCAGGTAAAGTTTGTGCAGGTCTGGCTTCGGTGCATCATGTGATGTACTCACAACTGGCTTTTACACATTGGAACTGTACTTGGGTTAATATGGCCAAAGATTGGATTTAGAGATATTAGATGCACTACCTGTAGAAGAAGTACCCCGTGAAAAGTTATGACCTAAAACCTTGATGCTAGAGTAAATGACAGTAATTAGGGAAGAGAAAAGTAAAGCAGAACTTTTTTATATTTGTGTCAAATATGAAAAAAAATGAATACCTGTACTGTAAAAAAGGTAAGAAACAACAACACTTTCAAACACTAACAGTTTTATTTCTCACTTATCATTGATCATTATTAGTACATTTATGTGAAATGTACAGAGGCATTAATTTGTTCCATGTTTTAAGGAAAGACAGACAAAGGGAACACCCCCTCCCCTCCCCATACTGACTGGGACATAAACAATAACATTAGCTAATCTTTCCCATTATTTGCAGTTTATATGTAGGCTTGTGATACCCTTGACATTAATATACTCTATTGTATATTATATGATGGCAAGATGACCTACCATTTACATAGTTGGGTTTCCAAATATAACACTTGAGATGTTACAATTTATGCATCAACAGTTGTTGTTGTCGTAATACTGCAGGTGTAACAGTTAAGGTATATCTGATGGTGTTTGGGACCTGCATATTTCTAACTTATGTAAAATGAAGATGAAAGTTGTGAGTGCTGTACAGGTATTACAGTTGTGCAACACAGCTACCACGATAATATCTCAAGACTAGCAGCCTCTCATGCTTGGACATAAAGACAAACATTTCAGCATTTTAAATTTACAATGTTACCGGTATACTGTAGTGCAGTTCTTATAGATAGTTGTGTTGAATAAATACTACCTGGTGCAGCTGCATGCCACTGCATACAGTAAATGTACAGTAATATAATGTGATAACTATGCATTCATTGCTCCAAGGCAAGTCACAGTGATAAAATATATTACCTGGCTTTCCTGGGGTGAGCTACGCCCTAAAAAACCCAGGTCGACAGTACTCATGCGATGAACCTTTGGCCTGATGAAGGGTTTGGCTGGGGCTAGTTTGTTCTTCTACACAACAGAAGAGCAATGCATGCATAGGTTATTGGGAGCATGATACACACGTGGTATTATACTCACTAGTCCTCCGAGCCTAAACATATATACAGGTAACATAAATCACTACATGGAACAAAAGAATGAGGTAAGAAATCCTAATTTTTGGCTGAGGGGAAGAATTTAGTAACATGTGAGATATTCCAGTGATGGCCTTTGGCACAGCCTGCCTTGTCTTAGTGACTGCAGTATCTTCATTTTTGAGGAAGAGTCACAGTCTGATCAGTTTAGTGCAAACGTTGCCTAAACAGCTACAGTGCTGCTCCAACCAGACCAAAGTTTATGATGCAAGCTGTAACCTTGGCAAGGTGGTTGCCTTAAATGTCAGTGCTCAAGGCAATAGGTATTATGTGATGATTCCTGAACTATAGTTGATTAGACTTGAACTCTTCCATCATAGACTTAGGCATCACACAACAGACCTCAAATTCTGCCTGCCTCTTGCCTACTGTTATCATGTTACCATGTGTTGACCCTTCATCCATAAACCCTGGTTCAGCTGTGCAGATAACTGTTTATGTTACATATAAACTGATTATATAGAACCATGACCTGCCAGGGGTGCTCAGGCTGGCTTATCTCACATCACTTGATCCATTGACCATAAAAGTAATGTACTACAAGTTTAAATTAATATACAAATATAATTTCATGAAACAAATCTTACCTTTTGCTGAAGATGGGGAGTTTTTTAGTACATAGTATGAGATTCTAAATAATAAATTAAACTATAGTTAAGGATGACAGTTTATTGTTTTATTTTATTTTTTTATTTAATATTTATAAATCTGCCAATTTAAATCCATAAACTTTATATTTTGTTCAGCCTAAATTACCAAACTTTCACAAATTTCGAAACTGACTTTGTCAATTCAAAGAGTAATTTTGGGGTGTAAGAACCACAGTCATCACCAATAATCATCCAAGTACCTGTAGTGTATTTACAAAAATCTTGTTTAAAAGTCTATCAAGAATGAGTAAGACGATAACTGAAAGATGTATTTAAAGGCATGAATTATTTTAGTTGTCAAACCTCAGAGAACATATTATCTGTCTGGCTGAAACACCACATAAATAACAAGGTAGGAAGGAATGGGATGAGTAACTTTGTCAAAGAACCCTTCACTGGTATCATCTGTGAATAGAACCCTTCACTAAATAATGACACCACTCAGGTGCTGGTGGTAAGGAACAGTAATGGAAGTATCACCGGCACTCGAGGAGATAAAAGCTACGGTGGATGGATATAGTAAAGGACTGTGTGTTTGGAAGAAATATAGAGGAATAACTTTGTGCTGTGAAATAGCTATATGGAGAGGAGTTTTCTTGAAACTCTTATTACAAAAGAACAGCTCTGGCTCTGAGAACAGGACCTGCCCACAACACTGAAACTATTTAAGACAAGAGGCTTCAACAGTGAACTTGACCTGTATTTTCTTCTGAGTTACATTCTCCAAATTTTTTTAAAGAATTATGAACACAAAATATATCAGAAAAGTAAACATACACAGGAAGCTGCTCAATACTGAGGTTATTTTATAAATGTTCCACAATAGTGAACAATTCTTAAACAATGACCATCCTACCTCAGAGCTGCTGACCTGTTCAGGATCATCATGTCCCACAATCCATGAGCGATGACAGTTGTTGTCTACGTGATCAGAGTTGCCTTGCGTGTTCCCTCGCATACTTGGACTGTCCTGAAGATTTATGTCTGTCATGGCAAATTCTGCATTGTGAATTCTGAAACACAACATGAACTGTACAAGACGAGAAGCAAGAAAGAAAGATAGCAAGCAGTCAGTCATCTTTTTCCTCTGCTACAAAAATAATACTGAATATAGAGCAGCCACTTCAGCCAAATGGATTTCTCTACCATTAAGGGAATTTGTATTTAGACTTTCCTGAATAATGTATATTATGATAGTATCTTGGTAAAGCTGCTGAAATGGAACGAGGATGATGTTCTGGCAGACAGATGGACTGACAAAAACAGTTTAAACTGTATTGAGTGGAGGAAAGAAAGAGGTGCACAGTATAGAGCCAGAAGATAATTCATTACTGTATACTATACTGTACAGTAGACCGATGTTATTCACGGTTTTACATTCAGGGTTTCAAATATTTGCAGTTCATTCCACCCCCCAAGGGAAGTTGACTATTTCATGACGATATTTTATTAACTCGGCATCAAGTGAACCTAAATAATATGGGAATTATAGTGAAATTGCATACAGTACTGTTGTTAAAAAGGATTGGGGAATTTCTGTTGAGTGCAGCCAACCACCCGCCCTGGCTCCCTCACTCACAATTCCCTCTCCACTTCATTTTGTTGACTATTTCATGACGATATTTTATTAACTCGGCATCAAGTGAACCTAAATAATATGGGAATTATAGTGAAATTGCATACAGTACTGTTGTTAAAAAGGATTGGGGAATTTCTGTTGAGTGCAGCCAACCACCCGCCCTGGCTCCCTCACTCACAATTCCCTCTCCACTTCATTTTGTCTTATTTTATATTTACTTTATAGTATATTATATGATTTTTCTGTTTTATTAATGTTTTGCAACAATTTACATGTACAGTGAGTTCTGCTATAACTCGTGTTTTGACAATGCGATTTATGAATAGAGGAACGATATTTGTATAACGCGAACGCTTGTTTGCTGTAACGCGATTTTTGCTTACTATTTCTCCAATTTTGTGGTATTAACTGTGAATATGGTAAAGAAGAATATCTCCAAGAAGCGTTCTGGTGATCGCATTCCCGGTGATGATCGTAAAAGAAAGGCTATAACCCTTGATGAGAAGCTCGATGTTATCAACCTCAAAATCACCCTTCTCCCCCATCAAGTTATATTCATATTTTTTCAAGGTAAAGTGTTACATTTACTGTATGATTTCATTATTAGATATGAATGTAACATTTATTTAGACTTTGCTATCCTTTGTGTTAGGCTAACTACTAAATTTTTTTCGATTTCGAGTAGTAATCTGCACCTAACCCTATTTTCTCCATAAGCCCTGTTATTTCTATTATGTGAATTTCTATAACACGATGTTTTAAACACAACTATCGCGTTATAGCAGAACTGACTGTAATATATTTAAAGAAAACCTACTAAAAGTACTGTACAGTACCATATATGGGTGTGTTTATGGGGACTCACATATCCCAAGCATATTGTGCCAACTGGTTCAGTAAGCAAGTAGAATTCATTGTTTTATTAATGTTTTTCACCATTATAAATGTATTTAAAGAAAAACATACTGAACTACCATATATGGGTGTGTTTATGGATAACTCAAGTACAGTCGACCCTCGTTAATTCAGAGTAATAGGGGGGTAAGGGTGTCCGTTTTAGCCGATTGTCCGAATTAACCGATTTAGGGGTAAATATTGCATAATATTGCATTATACAGCTATGTGTATGTTTATTTGAGTGCCCCGTCATAGGAGTCCGTTTTCTCTCACTTCAGGACGCCTGAGTCGTCCGTTTTCTCTTAATCTTAGAGTGCACCAGAAACTTCATTATCCCTTAGAAGTGACACAGAATTTGAAATTGCAACCCCAATTGCAACTGGGACAATCCCATTACCAGAAATTTGATACGGACAGTTCAGATTTCGTCCGAATTATCTGAAGTCCGGATTAAAGGGGTCCGAATTAACGAGGGTCGACTGTACTGTACAGTATCTCAACCATACAATACTATGGCCACTAATACAATTCGTGGATTTTGACAATTCATAGGTGTCTAGAACCTAACACCTGTAAATAACAAGACTACTGTATTTATGATGAAGCACAAGGTAACTGAGGATATTATTAAGAGAAATTAAAGAGCCTTACAATTTTACGAGATAAAATACTAAACATACTTAACGGTAAATGATTCATCAAATGCTTGTATCTGTGAAGCCATAACCGATGTAACCGCTTGTGCACGGATGGTTTGAGGGACCATAATGGATGCAGTTGGCATTGCACACGGGACGTGTGTGGCAATTGCTTTTGTGCTGTGGTCATGTTCTACACGTATCACTGCCTGTTCACCTTTCACAAGACTCTCATATGGCTCCAGTTCACCTAGAGATTCCTGTAACCACAAAAAAGTACAGTACTGTACTGTATAACATTTCATGCTGAATAAAAGAGGATTACAGCATGAACCTCCACTTTATAGCCACTGTCTGACCTGATCTGGGGGTCTGACGTATTCTAATGGTAGTTACTCTGTCTAATCATTGTATAAGTTATGCAATCATTTTGTATGGATAAAAATTATGATACATCTCCACCTGTTCAGGGTATCTGTTGACTCTTGAACACTACCAGTGAAGAATACTGATGTGTGTGACAAGATAAAGAATCAAATTAATGATTACATGAGATTAATTAATTACCCTTTAAATAATTATACCTTTAATACTTTAGCTAATGAATAAATTTGTGTACCTTTTAGTTCCCATTTTGGTTTATTTTGTAATTAGAATTAAAATCTGGAATTTTATTTTCTTGTTATTTGACGGATTCATAATTACATAATCTCTTTTAGGCCACAATCCCATTACAAATGTGTTAGTTAGTCCTAACAACTAATGCCTAAGAGTTTACAGTGTTTTTAACCCTTAGATTTGGTGCTGTACAGAACTATGTGAAAATTAAAATTGATTTCAGATTGTTGAATAGTTCATTTGGGAAAGAAAAATCACAGTAGTACTCAACAGAAGACTGATATTAGTTCACTTAGGAGAACACTGAGTGGTAGTCAATACACACCTGACAACATGGACTGTCAGTCTTTGGACTCTCAGGTATGGCCTCTAACTCTGGTTCTACATCATCACCATCAAGACCTTGGCTGAAAATTATATAGAACTTATAATTACAAAATTATTGTTCATACAAACTCAAAGGTGAAGTGAACTACAAAACTGCAGATTACAAACAATAAGTCATACATTAACTTGAATATAGTATTTTGTTTTCAGCTGATATGAAAATAATAAACATTATATGAGATATCAAAAACCTGTAACAAGTTAAATTATGAAAATATTTACATGCATTAATCAGTATAAGTTAGTATCAATTTAAGGACATAAAAGATAAACAAAAGATAGAGTGGAAACATATATCCTACTTCAGTCCTTTGATACATGTCATAGCTAGTAAGTACTGTACAAAAAACAAAGAACTTTGGGAAAGATGGAAAATCACTTCTCAAAGTTGAACATCAACCTTTAACTCTTCAGGGAATACATCACAACTCCTACTTGGTAATAATACTCAGCCCTCACTGTGGTTTCAAAGAAGATCCAAACAAAAAATAACCAGGGTGACAAACAAAGGCCAATTCACCATATTTGAGTTTAGAGACAGAACTGACACACAAGTTGTCAAGCAAAGTTTATATCATTAGATGGTACTGTACTTACTTAGTCTCATTATTCTTTCGTTGCTTCCTGGCATCTTCAGGTCCACTAGATCCCAGTTTGTGGTGACCATGTAGAGTCACACTCCTGCAAAGCCAACCTTTTATTATCTCCGTTGTAAACAATGTCTCATTTCATATAAAACACAAAATATCCATACAATAATATGTAATGGATGGTAGGGTGAGAGAAGAATTTTGTTTTTCTTGAATCACCGCAGGAAAACAAACAACTTAGTCTATGATTTATAAGTCCAATTGTAGCTTCAGTTGAAAAATTGTAGATTCTTTATTTATTACTTCTACACCTAACTCTAACCTGGCATATGGTCAGTGGACCCCAGACCTGATCCTGAATACTGTCATCAAGAAGATTATCCCTAATCCCCACCCTTGCTCAACTCAGGAGACAGGTCATGTGACCTGATTCCTTTGTTCTATGTCTTTCTCCCTTGTTTTGTTCTGTTAGTTGGCTGAAGAGGGTCCTAGTATACCAGCTCCAAGATTTTGTCTTCTATTTCTCCAATGTGGGTTTTTACTTCATTTACCAGTGTAACCATTACACGTCTGAATATCATCTACATATTATCAGCTCGCCTCGAGGTGTGTTACATTTATTTAATACTGTACTGTATTACAGTATTTACTTTATAGTTATTATTACTATATGTACAGGCACATTTAAAAAATATTTATATGTGCACAGTAATTATAAAAAGAATATTTTATGTGGCAGCCAAGGCGAATTTTCAGAACCACTTGGATATTTCAGATTCATTCCAAATTCAAATTGTTTAACCCATTTTCGAAAAACATACGAATTAAGCCCAAATCCAAATCTGAATTAGAAGTAAAAATCTGAAATTTAGACAACTGTATTTATCATACATCAAGTCATATGATATATTTACCAGTGATGTTAATTTAGTGTCAAACATGAAGTTATCCATTTATGGTAGTTACCTTGCATCCTGTGCAACTGGAACAAAAGCAGATTTGTGGTCAGTGACATACTGTGCACGTGGCTCAGAATGAGAGCCTCCTGCAACCAGAGTAATACGACCACTTCCATGGAACAATCCCGGTGATTGAGGTGGTGACTCTCCTGCATGTTCGGCCTCATTTCCTCCAATAGATCCCTGACTTACCTCTGAAAAATAGAAAATTGAATACTGTCATGTACCAATGGATGAGCAACCAATCCTCATGTCATTCTTGGCCTACCCTTGGCTCTCCTTCCTCCACATTTAGACTCATGCACCTCTTGACAAATATGTATATGTAGTGCAAATTTCTTTCTTTCCCTAGATATTTATCGTGTAGCTGCCTGGCTATAAATGTTGCCTCTTTAGTCCCCCTACTGGCATAAACCCAAACTGTACTGGTTCCACTACCCCTAATCTGCCCGTCTCACTCGTACTCCTCATTCAGTGATGATCCAAGTGTTTTCTCCACACATCCTCCATTCCTCATTATCAACAACCACGTTACTATGGTCATTTTTCACACATTTCTGTCCAACAACATCCTTGTTTCTTCTCACTATTTACCTCTACTCTTGCATTTGCACTATTCATCATATCTGCAAATGTGTCCTGTTCATGCTTCTTAGTCTTGTAAACCTCTCTGATGACGACGACGATGATGATGGTAGCAAAATTTGTCAAATTTCTCTGGTTCATGTGGGTCATATATAATATAACTTTAATTTGTACATTCTATCTATAAATAACTTTCTTCACCAAAGACTTGTAGTATAACAACACTAAACAAAAGTTGCATAGCACTTGAAAAGTGACAAAATTATCTTATCAGAAACTCTCCAAATATTCCTGGATCTCTCACTATGTAAGAGAAAAGAAAGATACTTCCTTGGTATGGATTTTCTTTTAAAGACTGAGAGTGCACGTGACTCATCCAAGAACCTTTTACATCTTTTAAAAAATCTTTTGACCTGGGGTTGTTCACCCTTCTCATATGTGACCAAATCATCCAGGTATCATTCTTCTCTTTCCCTTCTTTACAATTACAGTAGGTCTCCCTCGTTTAACACTGGAGTTATGTTCCTGTAAAACCTAACATTAAATGAAATTATTGCTAAACAAGGAATAATATTGGTGGAAATGGTATGTTACCATTCTTACACATAATGAAACTATAAAAGTTGTGGAATAATCATTACAATACAAGTTGTACCTCTCTAGTCCGGCATTCTGTGGTCCGGAAAGATTTTAGTTTGTCCAATAGGTAGATGGGCAGTGATTATTATTATTATTATTTTTTTTTTTTTTACTTATCTGAATTATTATTATTATTATTATTACAGGAGTATTACATTTTTGCCCCTCAGGCCCCAATGTGGGTCAGTGACCTATGCCCGGGTGGGCTAATCCCCTTAAAAAAAAAAAAGCCGCGGGAAATTAAGGTTTGTTTACATCCGGCAGTTCGGCTGCTCTCTCTCTCTCTCTGCTTGTCTATACAGAGTACAACATTTAACCCTTCAATATATATGAGCAGTAAATAAGTGTTGCTTTCATATTCTTATGTAGAGTAATGACGATATGTTTTCACATGTGCGCACTTACATACGCGCAGTCTCACTTTTTTTTTTACCATTAATGGTTAGCTACTTATATTGTTCCATTTATTAACATTAAATAACATTACAGGTACTTCAAACAACCATATTAATTTTTTTACATTAATTTTACTACAGCTACAATCAGGGTCTTATTTTCTTCAGTTTTATATGTAGAACCAATCAGTCACTGGTTTTGTAAGCTTTAACATAAACAATGCCGGCAGCCGTCTCGTCTCCTCGTGTGTTTTAATATTCCACGTATTATTAATAAATTGTATTGTTAATTTTGCACACACAAACATTAATTCAATAAAAACAAATTCAGAAACATTAATTAAAATATATATGAACAGTAAATAAGTGTTGCTTTCATATTCTTATATAGAGTAATGACGATATGTTTTCACGTGTGCGCACTTACATACGCGATCTCTCTTTTTTCTTTACCATTATCGTTAGCTACTTCTATTGTTCCATTTATTAACATTAAATAACATTACTTAAAACAACCATATTAATTTTACTACAGCTACAACCAAAGTCTTATTTTCTTCAGTTTTATATGTAGAACCAGTCAGTCACTGGTTTTGTAATCAACGAAAACAATGCTGTGTCATTTCCTCGTGTGTTTTAATATTCTACGTATTTTATGAATTGTATTGCTCATTTGGCACACATAAACATTAATTCAATAAAAAAGACATTCAGTAATAAACAATAATGAATCTTTTGTACATAAGAGAAATGACGCTGTTTACACGATTATGCACGTCGTCTGCACGTTGGCGGGCCGTTCAAACCCGTCGAAATTCAAGTTTCCGCCGTCAAAATTTTTATTTTATTTTTTTGTGTTCCAATAAAATACGTTGAATTAAAATTTGAGAAGCTACTATACGACATTTAACCCTTCAATATGTCTTCAAAGAGACCATGATGCAGAGAAAGTGGTGCTACTGCTTCCAAGCATAAGCACAAGTCACTATCTATCCAGGAAAAGGGTGAATTTCCATGGTCCGGCACCGGTCAGGTCCCGAGGTTGCCGGACTAGAGAGGTACAACCTGTACTGTACTGTAATGTGGCTTGGAAATAAAGAAAATATAATATACAATTATAAAATAAGAAAAATTAAGAGCATGAGTGTGTGTGTGTGTGTGTGGCAAGTGATAATATGTGTGGGCTCATGGAGGCGGTGAACTGTAACTGAGTTGCCACCCAGTAGCACTCAGAGTGGGTGAGGCTGAGCTGTGAGCGATGTTATGGTTCAACTAAGAAGGTGAGTTAAAATTTTTTTATCACTAAACCAAATTAATGTTAAGTAAATTAATGCTAAACAAGGGTTACTTGTACTCTGTTTGTTTAGTCAACCTATATGTATGGAAACATACCTATATTTCTTTAATGTTTACAGTATATTTAATCTATGTTTTTATCATTAATTCCTAACAATTAGTGTTCCAAAACTATCAAATCTAAATTAAGCAAATTTCAATAAACCTCTTGAGTATGCAGAGCTGGCAGCACACAAGGTTGGGTCATCAACTTTTCGACAGCGGTGATGGTGACTGTCAAGGGTGTTCAATACTATACGCACCAGTGACAGAGCTTGTGTAGAAAGAACTTGACTATCATACTTGTACTGAAAAAGGGAAAAGTATTTTAACAAATAAATATTAATCAACATCAGTGATCATGGCAAAATAATGATACAGCATTATATTTATACAGTGGAATGTGTAAAATCTTGCCCATACTGTACTGTACATCAAAATAACTTATATTCTTGTCTTACATATAGCATACAGTACAGTATAGTACAGTACTTCACGACCCTGATCACCCATCACACCATCTGTATATTAACTTCAATATAAAAAAGTAACAAACCTTATACAAAAATGTAAGAACTGACTTCAGCCAATATTTTCTCGGGTGAGGCTGGAGACTCCACAAACTGAACACTGGGTAGCGAAGGTCTGCCACTCTGTGAGGGGCAGCACAAAACTGCAGTACTGGGAGACAGGTGGGCAACAGTGAGGTACCCATAGAGAAATTATGGTCCAGGACATGTGACAGATTAGATAAGAAGGCGTTAAAAACAGGCGATGATCTGCAAAAAGAAGAACATTATATTACTTTTTTGAAATACTATGTGCTTAAAAATATAAACATAGTGTTTAAAAAATTATACACACATTGTCTTGCAGTGATTGCATGAACACTGTACTTGTTTTATATCTTTAGATATTTTAAAATATTTTCCTAATATTTTATGCTGCATTTACTTTATATGTTGTGTTGTATCTTAACTCCTTTTTTACATGAGTAGTATATTATACTTTTTGTGATTTATGTATTTTGTGTGGAGTTACATTGTGTGAAAGTGGGTTCCATAGGTCTGATATCCCATTAGGGGCAATTAGGTTGCATCTCACTGTACTATATTGTACTGATGACTGTCACTCTCCCGGCAGTAAAGTTACCATAGATATCCATTCACAGTTTGATGGATTGGAGGTGCCCTGGGATCAAACCAACAGCCCTTAGGACAGGAGGAAAGCCCTGTATCCACTTAGCCACCACATCCCTTACATGTACTGTAGTGTACTTATTTATGTACAGTAGAGTCTCAGCGTACTGTACATAAATTAAAGCATGTCAATTTAAGGGAATAAGCAGAATGCCACTCCAGTCTACTTGATCAGCCATGTTAGCTCCTAATGTTTTATTTTGGTTGTGCGCTGCATCCATGTAAATGATGGTTGTGTTAAAGTTTTATTTAGCTTTTCCTTAATGGTTTTTACCTTTTTTTTCTATCTTCCTAGTATACAAATGTTGCTTGAAGTATCACAATTGTTAAATAACATAAGGTAGATGGTACGGTTTAAAAATGCTGGGAAAGGAGGTACAGGGAGTTGTGAGTTTGTTTCAGCCTTTTGACTTACCATGTAGGCCATTACTTTACATCTGTGATAATATTCCTTATGTTTTGTTTTATAGTTTTGTTTGTTTTGCAGTGTTATATTTGTTGTATTGTAACACAGAATTTGAATTTTTATTTTTGGGGGGTTCATTAGGGGACTGCATGAGTCCCTAGTCATATTTAAATGTTCAAAATGACCACCGTCCCTTTCTCAACAATATTCATTAATACATGTGCAAAAGACGCAGGCTGTTTTTGGATGATTTATTTGGGGGAAAAGGTTTGTCTTATATGCCGGAAAACATGGTAATTGGAGATCTACTGCACTTTAATTCACTTCTGACACTGATAATAGAAGCATTGCTCTCCCAGTGTAAATTACCTGAGCCTGGAAGGTGATATAGAGAAACACCGCTCCTGAAAACTATAGCCCATGAGCACAGACAAGTGGCGCAGGACCAGGGTCATCATCTTCAAATTTCCTATGTCCTCACTTCCTCCAGCCTGTGAAAAAGTATTCTGATTTACTAAATATATTAAGACTTTGATTAAGTAACAAAGGGTTGAATTTGTACATCCCAATTTATGGTTCAGAGGAAGTCACATGAAATCTGAGATAGCTTACTCATAACTCCTATAGAAGAGCCTACCTCGGTACATTAGCCAGAGGTTACCTACATTCTGAGGCACTGAAAACTGTCCAAAGCAGATGTGTAATTTTTTTTTGTTTTCATTACATAACAACTTCTTACCAGTTAGATCAGGGTGAGCAAGATCTAACTCCTCAGACCCATTTGTTGTGACAGTGCTGACTATTTGGATTACTTGTCCTTGCTCTTAATACTTACCATGGTTTATTGTATGATCCATAGTAGTGTAGTGTATGTAAAGCTTGAAGGCTGTTTTATTAAGCAATCTAGTGTACAAGTGATATTATATGAGAACTGTAATGTGATATATGCTGTACAGTACTGTATATGAGTAAAACCTGTAACCTCACCTGTAAACAAGTCTTTTTCTTTAATCAAACTGATAAAAATTACTCAACCAAACGACACAGCCAAATTAATACACACGATTATAAGAGGACCGGCCTCATTTATGACCTTTCTGACAGTAATGTAAAAAAAAAAATAAAAAAAATCGGCTTCTAACACTTACATGTTGGGGCTGTGAGAGGAACTGCATGAAGAGGAACACAAGAAGATGAAGAGTATCTTTATCAGTCTCCTCAAGGTCCATGGCTCGCTGCAGCTGGTGGACCACAGACCCGTCATCACTACACCTCATCCCTCCGTCGGCTGAAGTGTGATGGTACAATGCTCAGGGGATGATTTGGTTTGTGAAAATTAAAATTTATATATCACATGATAAAGACTGAAGCTAGCAGCACCGAATTCAAACACATGTACTGTTATTTATTTTGATGAGCATGAATCTATAACTAAATTTCGGGAGTGAATGTTTCAACACAATTCTTGGATACAATATTCATTCAAAAGAGACTCGATTGCTTAATCATTAAAGGCCTTTTTATTTCTTTTTATTTTTTGAAAGAGAGTACAGTATATAATTTTCAAAGTATGTACAGATTTGACACAAATACCTTTTCAGATCTTGTCATTCTATTTATTGTGTAAAAAAAGAATTTGCTACTCTTAATTCTCAATAGTTGCATAAAGAAGGGAAGCAGGAAAAATTAGCATATCAGCATAACATCTTATGAACCTTTTTAAACTTGACAAGCTACGATAAACTACAAAATATAAATAAGAAATGTAAACTATCCAGCGTAGGAAGAGAATAGCATGAAATTACTGCAATTTATATTACTCTATAAGTTTTAGAGTAAAGCTTTTAAATAAAAGATATGGCATAAGAATGTTTGAATATTATAAAAAAGATATATGTAAAACTGTATACCAAAACTAGTACAGTACAGGTATGTTAAAAAAATCACTTGAAATTCATTAATGAGTCAAAATATTAATAATTCTTCATTGTACTCATGCAAAAATCTATAAAATCTAGAAAATATCTGTCATCTATTATTTTTGCTAGCATATCGACCTATGTCAAAAATTTAACCATGCATACTGATACTAGAGGTCACTACTTGACCACATGCCATATGTCTATGAGTCACTTATGCGTCAGGATTTTTCATCCACGCTAAACTACTTCCTCGACATGCTTACCAGAGCTAATTTCCCACATACTTCATTTTTTATACCACTATGAGTGACAAATTCTTATCCTTCTTCCAAATGACATGTCAAAAAAATATAATGTTCAGTAAATTAATGTTATTTTTGTATGACATGATTTCAATATCCACATCCATGTAATAATAATTCAATATTACTATATACTTCACTAGAGCTCTACATTCACTTCATGTACTTCAATATTTTTTTTTAATTAATGCTTGCTTAATATTGGTTATTTTCAAATCTTTATAAACTCAAAGTTATTTTATTACTAATTTACGTCTTAGTGTCGGGCTTTTAAGTAACGACTGCATAATTACGTGCACTTGGGAATCATATTCAAAATGGTTTCTAGTTTGACGCAGCGTTCAAGAGGCCAAGAATGAAGAGATCTTTGAAGCTACTCATTGTCAGTCCCTGGTTGCTGACAAAAGAGAATAGGAGAAGTTTAAACAATATCATATCGGGTAAATAAGCCCCAGTAAAACAAAACTGCAAAAGATTTCACCAAATAGTAAAATTTAAAATTAGTAATTTTCTTAACCTGCAAAAATGAGAGAGGAGTAAAGATTCCTTCTGTAAGAGGCAGAAAAGTAACGAAGACCAGAGAGGAATAAAAAAATTAGGGATATATGCAGTCTTAAAGTGTTTATATATATATATATATATATATATATATATATATATATATATATATATATATATATATATATATATATATATATATATATATATATATATATATATATATATATATATATATATATATGCCAGTAGTAGTTAATTTATTGTAAATCAGGTCACCAAATGACAAACATCAAACATTAAAAAGAATAAAAAATAAAGTAATATAATCCACACAGTAAGAAGAGGAACATAGTAGAAGACAGTACAGTATTGCCTTAACTGTTATGGTCATTTTAAAGCTCAACATTATAACATGATCCAGCTTTATATACATTACTTAAATAATTATTTATATCATTAACATTACATTTACCCAAAGATGACTTGTTATTAAGTTAACAAACAGAAAACAACATTAACAAGTTACCCTAAAACTGTCTTTAAAACACAATTAATTAGCACATGAAAAATCTTATTATTTTCAAATTATGTTACAGCTGGAACAAATGTGTAGGGTAAATTACCTTTCCTAGAATTAAAGTATAATTCAAAATAAATAAATGTAACTATTAAGATTGGTTATCATGAAGCATGTTTTTTTAAAAGCTGTAGTATTAAAAAGAAAGAAGCCACAATAATATAGGTTCATGATATAAATGAGTGTAATATCTGGGATTAAGACTACTGAAGTCTACTAAGATCTAGAATTAACCAGGCAATGGAGCATGAAAATCACAGTCACTGGACAAACTGCATAAGAAAAGTCCTACTGACAATGGTCATTGATTTTCTCTGATGACAGATGAACATTAACTATACTTTTCAACAAGATTAACAGATTCCTCACCCAGTGATATGATGGCAGTTATGTCCTATAACTACTATATGTCTCGGTTACTATCATATCATCCACCACAAGAAATTCAAATCAAGAAAAAATATAAAGTCAATCACTTGTCAATCACTATCAATGACCACCACTGCTAAGGGACTTTTAAATGCAATCACAAATAACTAGCACATAGACAAGTCTACACATACATATACAGAAAGACTCTCACAAAGAAAGGACTACAATAGATACCCTGCATTACGTCAATGAAGTAAGCCTCAAACAGTTTACAGGGCATTGTGCAAAGCCCCTTTATAGTAAAGTCTGCAAGCAAAAAGGGACAACAATATTGTTTATTCACATCACAAAAGCTTTGGCTGGGAAAATTATCCAGCCCTACAATGAAAAGTCATTATCTAAATATAAATACAGGTTCAAGAAAACTGGTTTGGAGACGCCACTGATCCTGTGTAGAGTGTCATCCAGAGGTGTTAAACCATGCATACTTCCTTTTATTTGACCATACAGTATACCCTGCAAAACATCACGCCCAGACCACAGAGGGTTACTACACAGGTCACTTGGTGAGAAAGCCAACGAGGATTATAGAACCATCAGATTAAGGCGAGCAGGTTACTACATGACCAGCCTTAGTAGTAGGCAAGTCTACAGAAGGACTACACAATACTGTACCTGGCTGGGGAAGTCTACATGAGTTAAGAAAACCTACATCTTGTTAAGTTCACACAACAGTACAGTATCTGAGGAACACTTTAACCCAAAATTCTAAAGTATTTTGTGAGGTTATATGAATAAATTGTCTTCCTTATGTTAGAGAGCAGATTATAACTTTCTAGTACCAATGAATCTGCTTTCCAAGACTGGCAGCCAAAAAATAAAAAAAATATTACCATGACAGCTGCCTCCATCTCTGGGGCAGTCTACATTTCCCTACAAATGCAGGATTGATCTTGAAATCCCTTTTTCTGGCAGAGCCTATAGTCAGGCACCTTTTCATAATACTGGCCGCCACCTTAGGCACTCCGTGTCATCAGACAACCTCCAATTATTTAACCTCTAGTGATGTTTAAAGCCAACAGGATAAACTTATCATCCCAATCTCTCAGTCACACACATTGCTCCAATTTGAGAAAGTCGGGTGCAACAGATTTTTCCTAGAGACGGAAAACCATTCAGTGGCTGCATCTGACCAATCAGTTCACTTTAAGCCAAAGGCTATGACTCTGCCATCTTTGTTCTGGTCACTCTGCCATCTTTGGACCAATGAAACATAATTGAAGTCCCATTAGTATAGGTAAATCACTTCATTATATCAGCCCTTTTCTGTAAAATATTTTTTTATTGTGTCCACTAAAGGCCTGATCAGAAGCACTCACTGGCACCAACATAGTACAGTACTCCTTGCCATTCACCTAATGAGCTAAACCACTGGATTACTTCTCTTGTCTGAAGTATTTAGTATCAACAAATTGGGTACCTAAGTTTAATCTAAACTAACTACAACATAACATATACCGGGTATGCAATGATGTGTTTAATTCTCTTTTTTAAGAGAATAAAAGTCCAGCAGTACCCTGTATGTGAATAAGCAAAAAATTACAATTGCCCTTTTGATTATATCTTATAAAAGCATATACAGTACAGGTATCCCTCATTTAACTGGGGTTGCATTCCTGTAAAACCAAACATTAAGCAAAATTATCACTAAATGAGAGACAATAGCAAAGCACAGAGGGTGAACAATAGGTTCAAATGGCAGGACGGTGAACACTGAGTACTGTTCAGTATAGTATTCATTAATAATAATAAACAAGTTTGTTATACATGGGGTCCTCGTTATCCAAGTCATCGATATCTGTGGTTTCGTATTTACGAAGCCAAATTATTGCTGAACCATACGTAAAAAGTCCCCGCACTTAAGAGTATTACGAGGAATAATATCTGTGGAGATGGCATGTTACCACTGCTACATGTAATGAAACTATAAAATTTGTGAAATAATCAATAAAGTATTCTAATGTGGCTCATTTTACTCATTTAGGTTAAAACATCACTTCAGGCTACATAACTGAGAGTAGTCTGAGGACAATGAATCCCCAGTTGGAGGCCTATATTACAAGTAGCTGCTTGACAAAAGGCATATGGCAGAAATAGTTATATCTAAAAAGCTAAAAGCGGCATTCTATGTCAACTCAAAACTAAAGATACTGGAATAAAATATAAGACATAAATATCGAGAAGCAACTGTCCTGATAACATGGCCACTGTTCCTAAAATAAGCCATACCAGCCCAAATTGATTCATCTATCCTCACTAAGTACTTTACTATTCTGGCATATAGGCTGTGTTGAATATGGAGGATTATAATTTTTATATTATGAAAAGAGATCAATTAATAATGAAAATAATTTAATCTTCCAAAAGCTGTACCAACATTATCTCAGGTAAAGAATTATCTGACTTTCACATTGGATTACCATGATCATGACTTTATCTAATCTGGTTTTTATTTTACATCTTTTTTTTCAGCTTGAATACGTACTAGAAAAGCTCTTAAAAAAATTTTGTTTCCATTTTACAAGAGTTAAATGTTTAATGCAGAACACTATTAACATTACAGGATACAATATGATGATGATAATGATGATACAGGTATATGTGTAGTACTGTATATACTTGTATGTTTTTATAATCAATTAAATGATAACCACTGTAAAAGACACAGACAAATAATGTGAGAGTTCAACGTGTTAATGGATAAGGAAATAACACTCCACGGTCACACACAACCCTAAGTTCCTATAAGGGTTACACCAACACTCTCAATACTTTTAAGAGATGACACTCTTTTAGGTCATTTGAAGGAAACATTTTTAGTTTTTTTCATTACATTACACTACAGTACTTGAATCCTGTACTGTACTGAGTAAATATCTACAATACAGTGAAATACCTGTATGTTTAATGAGTGCAAGCACCAAGGTGTCTCAGTGGATGGTGCTTGGGTAATTATGAATACTGTACCAAGCAAGATTATACACCAAGGAGAGAGGAATAGAGGTCTTATGGGTGGGTGAGTCTGTGTGGGTTACATCCTGGGAACATTTATCAACAATACACGATATGAGTAAACAAGAAGGATTAAAGTATACCGGTAATATTTTTGTGGTTTTGAGAAATGTAGGTGATTGAAAGGGGATGGGTTACAGAACAGTCTTTTAATTATTTGGGGCAAGTATAAATTTTTAAAAGGTGTTTGGAGACCTTTACCTGAATATGTGGTGTTTATACTGATTATAATCTTTATAAAATGGTCATAATTATCCATTGCTTTATATGTTTGGTGTCACTTGTTTTGATTTACATAATAATAAGTAAAAAGAGAAGTAGTGGTGGCAAATGTGTTCTCCGAAAGCGTGAATTTCTTAGTAACTTTGACAGTAATTTTTTTTTTCACTCATACCTTGAAAGTTAATGTTTTCAAGCATTTATATCTTTATAGACATTATATTCAACATTAAAGTGAGCCAGAATTTGGTATCCTTAAAGGTTTTATATGGCTTTTCCACACTTGCCTGGGTTAGCCATGAATACCCAGTAGTGGTTGTGTTGTTTCTTGTTGCCTCTCTTGTCAGGTTCTCATTACTGATGTCATTTCTAACAACCTCTCCTCTTATAATCCTTGGCTACCCCTAGATGTTTTCCCTTCCACATTGAAACATGCCGTATGCACCTTGACCCAATTGGTCTCCTCCATTATCTTCACATGCTCAAACATGATAACTCTGGGTTGAATCAGAGTTTAAACCTATAATTCAGTGATTGTTTAAATATTAGTGAAGCCACACTGACTCCATGTGGACTTCCAAGGGTAACAAACATGTAAAGAGGAAAATACTGTAGTTTAAGTTTATTTTATCATAGGGAACTCTATTTAATAAGTCCCTTTTGAAGTTTGTTTCCATAGTCTCCTAATTTCAAAAGATGTTGGATATTCTCGTGACATACAGTCTTATGTGTGAAGAAATCTTTCCTTTGACTGTATGGCAATAGGGACAGGTATTTTTCATTTATTTATTTATTTTTCATATGAACATTATCTACAGTAAAGGTGTATCCATTTGGGGTGACATGGATGGTTCTTCTGACACATGACCTCCTCCATCCCATGACTATTTGGTTTAGTTTGGATCTCTAGAACACAAATGGAGGTTTGAAGTATTAAATCCCATTTCATGGCCAAGGGGAAGAAAAAAAAAGCTGCATCTCTCTTCCTGTTCCTTAGGTGGGGTTCAAGTTTGCCATGAACCTTGATGGTAGAAATACAAATTCCGCTTAATGACGAAGTGTGGTTTGACACGTGTGAACTAATCTAGGTTTTTGACTCGGTAATCTAAAGCTTCACTAGTTCTCAACGCAACCATCTGATTATGGGTTTAAAACTCTGGTTCAACACAAAATTGATTGGGTAATGAGTGACTCTAAAGAACACAAATATTGTCCCTGTGACAGCAAACAAGCCATAGTCAAGGCAAGCTCTACCATTGGGTAATTAAAGGTGTGGATTTTACAGATCACTTGCTGCTCATCCTAGGCCTAAATTGGGATTCCATACTGCATTTTTTATGAGATTGTTTTTCAATTATAGTACAGGAGTAAAAACAAAACCAATGTAAAATAAGGAAAGTATTCTATTCCTCTGAACCTTTTTATCCATTACATAATTCTCAATCTAAATTTAAAACTGATTAACATTTATGTACAAAAAGTCTACACGAGTGCTGGTTGAACCCTTAGGAATGTGTCCTCAGTATCTGTATATCTATGGCCCATAAATTATTGGGGTCAAGCCAGGGATGAGAGAATATACCTGAGACTAAATGATTGGACTGGAATGTGCCTAAGACCTGACCAAGCCCAATTTTCGAGCTCTTGCGTTTAAGCAACGGTGCGGAGGCTTGCCGGAGGTATGTTTTTTCCTTCTCTTTATCCACTGGAATGGTGCAGGTAGAATTAATATACGAAGGATTCAAGAATCCAGTACTGTACCACTTTATAGTTGAGCATCATTCTTAATTTATCATAACCTAAGTATTGAGAGCCTCAGTCTCCTGTTATCTCTGTACTATATAAATGATTTGGAAAATATTTTAGCTGAACATGAATATTAAAAATAAAAGATTGGTGCATTATAATACAACTAGATTACCTTCACCCACACTTGTGATGATTGGTCAACAAGTTTTAAGTAAATGACTGTTATAGTTTATAGTGACAGGTTGTGGTAGAAAAGAAAGGTTGTCATCTCCCTAATTAGTGAGTGATGCACTACCTGTACAATATAATAAGGTCAAATTTTGTCTGATATTGTCATGCAACTTATGCTTTCACACTGAACTTACTATAGTAGCCAACTGAACTGTATAGCACCTGTACTGTATGTTTTTTTATAAAGACACAAAACAGTTGACCACTATAGGGAGTTCAAAGTGCATATTCTTTAAGCTATAGTAATGGTTAATACTGCTCAATAATATTAAAGGATAAACAAGACTGTCATGAATTTGCCATAATTATACTGTAAATGTATAACTAGACAAGTGAACATTTACAAACTTAAGCTAACTTGTGTATTTATCATCACAAACACATTCACACAAAACTCTGCAGTACCTAAATTATACAGATAATATTAATATCTTCCCTTTGGGTAAAATGTGAGAGATATTTGCTTGGTAGGTTTGGAATCTTATACAGTTCCCAAAATTACTCAAACTATGTAAGGTCTTCATTTTAATTTTGTTATTCAATATGCCTCTACAGTACTGTACTTTAAAACTTAATTCACATTCACTTGAGCTCATCTTATGTAAAAAAATGAGAAAAGTCGTCCAAGAGAGACACTGGATATAACCACCGGTGATTTATACTGTTTTGTCTTGACCACCTCACTCATTGTCAGTGTGACAGGAACAACACAATTACTAATTTGAGAACATAGGACTTACTGTAGTGTTTGTGAACCATGGGAGGCACATCCACATTATCTTATTTAGTCAGGAATGGAATAAAGTTAATAAAAATGACTTGGTTTCTCTGTATACTGTAGTAGGTCTGCTGCCATATTATACTCAAAATATCCTTTTAGTGTAATAGAACTTGGTACTTCTAAATCTGTTGCAGACTGACCCAACACGATCTTTCACTTCTGATAAATAGTCTTGCTCATTTTACACTGGCTCAAGTTTTTATAATGTTACTAACACTGAAAAAACATCCAACGCTCAACAAGCACTCAAGATATTCAGATAAACTTTCAAGAGACAGTACACTTATTCAACACAGTTAGGACTTAATACTGTACACTGTGATTCCTGTCCCTAAAGCTCCTCAAGGTGGGTCATTATTCTATTATACGTATTCCATTCCAGTAAAACTTTAAACATTTGGACGTCAATTATTCAAGATTCCAGAAAAATGGACCTTGTCAAACCTACTTCATCATTTATTAAGTAATTCCAAAAATTTGAAATATTCTGAGTTGTTTGACATTTTAGTCCAAGATACCTGTAGTAGCACCGCATGGTAGCCACACCATTTGTTTGCACCAGCTTAGAGATGTTGGAGTAGTTTGGACAACTGCAAGTGACCCAATAAATTTTTCAAAAGTAATTATTACCCAGCATATACCCAGACATTCAGTGATTGTGAGGGGAAGGTATTGTCTGCTGCCACACTGTACACAGTTCACTTGAATGTTCATTGTCATACTTGTGTCTTATAAGTGATATCTTTCAATTGGTGATTTTGTATCCTGCTATAATAGAATGTACCAATGGTAGTGATGGCTCAAGTTCCCTCTGAGAAAAGCATATAAGTACTGCAGAAAAAGTAAGAATCTCTTGAGCATTTTAAGCATTGTGAATGCTCAGAAATAACAAGTATACAGTTTGAAGACAAGTAAAGTCCTGTATTTTCTTTGGCATTGTCAAGATTAAAAACAAGACCCAAAAATTTGCCAATAAAGAAGACAATGATGGTTCTTCTATGAGGAATACTAATAGAGAAATTAATAGTATAAAAAAACATTAGTTCACAAGTGTACTGTATTATATTGCTCAGACATATTCACCTATATTTTTATGTACAGTATTTGCATTGTTTAACTGCATACGGTATTATAAAGTGTATCACATCAATGTAACTGCTCTTAAAATGTTATAAAAGTACAGTACCCCTCGTACTGGTATTTGTTTTGTACCTGCAGGTGTTGGTAAAACACTCTGATATTTGGAAAGTTGTATCTTTTGGACTTCTTTTCCTTAGTTAGTCCAAGTGATCAAGGTTTTACTGTACAGTATAGCTATATCTTCAACACACAAACACTTACATACACTCACATACACATAAATACATCATCACACAAAATAATTTTGATTTAGTCCTTATTGCTCTTTAGGCGAGTGGAGTAAAATAAGACTTGGTTTAAAGAGTACATAGATGCTCCTTATTTCCTGTGCTCTAGGAGGCATCTACAAGGGTAGGAGAGGAGGGAGTTAAGGGCCCTGAGGGCAGGGACCTTTATGAGGGTGAATGTAAAAAAATTAATGGACATAGTAAAACATCACTGCTAAAATGTTATCTCACTAATCATAGACAAACATTTATCTTGAACACAATAGTAAAATAATCTCATACAAACTATACTGTACAGTACGATCTAGACTGCTACATCTATTTTGCCATTAGTAACTAATGTGCACAAGCGTTTTAACAACTACACACACACATTATTGCATACCAATACATGTACTGTATTTGATCACTTGATGAGATAACCTGCGTGTTCTGACAAAATAATTATCCACACACATCTTGCAAAATTACTTGTAGGCTATGCACCCTGTAAGTTCAGACTAATCTGCTCTTTCGTTGTGTGGATGTTTTAGTTTATTATATACGGTGGATGATTTTCATAGATTTATTCGTCATTGTAGCAAAAATTTTAATCTTGTTATCCTGACTACTGATGTTATTTGTATATAAGTCTTAACTAAATACTTCACTTGGTGTTGTAACTGTACGCCTTGACACCTCCACTCAGTTTGTTTAACACATCACAACACTGCCTATGAGCACCTGTTGTATACCCAGTTATTTCTTGATAAGCAATGATAGAAAGTACAGTATATAATATTTAAACTTTGTTATTTCATCCCATTTTGTAGTTTTGAGAAATAAATCTATCTGGTAAATGGTTCACTTTGAGGCATCTAATTAAACTTCATTCACAAGTATTATTAACAGGATCTTACTTTTATGGTAAAGTTTCTTCAAAATTTTAACTAAAATGAACATTCAGTACAGTTGGTCTATTGACTGAGGCAGGTAATCCTGCAATTAAAATATTCCAACCATTTTAAATACTGTGGCTTACAACAACTCAGATTATATGTTCATTAAATCCTGTTTCACGATTCTTCATTTTCACTCTTTGTCAATTAAAACTACTGTACAGGTACTGTACTAAAATGTACAATCAAGCATCACTGATACTAAAATATAAAATTTGCAGATGCAAAATGATCTTGACGCTAACATAAGCCAAGATATATATTTTCTGGGAAAATCTTTTCGTAAGGAGAAATGAATTGAGAGCTATCCCATTCCATATTCAGAGCAGAATGATACATAAAACATCTCCCCCAGATATTCAGTTAGTGACACTCCCCAGATGTTCATTTGTTAATAAAAACTGCTATCAAGATTTGAAACACTTGCTGAAGAAGTGTGCATGTGTTAGTTGGCTTGTCACCAAGTGAAGTAACTGCTACTTATTAGATGCAGAACATGTGGACCCTAGTCCTAATTGGCTTAAACCTAACCAAAAGGCTTGGGGCCCAATAAGACTGAGTCCCACTAAATCTTGGCCACATTAAAATTAATGGTTAGGTATAGTTTGGATCTATTAGGGCTGGGGCCTTATCACTCAGTTGACCATTTATATCCTACTTACTGGCACTAAGAGAAAAATATATGAGATGGATTATTCTTGCCTCAGCAAATATAAAAAAAATTTGTTAAGCAGAAACAGACTTATAAAAGGTGGCAGATTAAAAAAATCATTAAAAATAAAAATGTATGGAGAAGCTCTTAGTCTCTCCTGAGTGGTCTGTCCTAACTATAATGGAATCCTTAAACAATTATCTACAGGCAATCTTGAACAAACTCCACAGGAAATGAGGAGAAAATAAACCTGAGATACTTATTCAACTCTTAAAGAGAGAAGTGATTAAAACAAGAATGAGTATAAGTTGGAAGTATTGACTGATGCAGGAAAATAATTTTGAAGGGTTTTAGTTAAGAAACCTTGCATATGGTGGGTATGGCATACAAGATGAGCTATACTGTAAAGAAATAATTTAAAACACAATTAATTCAGTCCTCTGAGGTGATGATTCACAAGTTAGAAACACTGTATGCCAAATGTACTCAAAACTAATCAGTAATCTTAAACTATTTTTCTTGATTTCTTCATGGTATATTACTTTGTTTGTCAATAAATAATTAAATGATCTGAAATACTATAGAGGACTCCCTCCTCCTACAGGTGGATGGTTGTTTTGTACCTCATCAACATGACTTCACTGTTAAAAATCTTAAAGAATGCTTAGCCACACAAACATTTCCCTTCTATTGGTTAAGACATTTATCTAAAGCTATCAAATTCTATCTTCTCCTAATATAACATTAAACAAATACCTGAAAAGTTCTACAGAAAAAAGAAAACAAACATTACCTTGTTTCTCAACTGTACGGTTAAACATATTGGCTGGAGCTGACATGGTGCGTTTATAAGGCCACTTGGTACCGAGAGAGCCAGAGAGCGTCCGTACACTAGCACTCTGCACTAGGGTCAGGGCATCCTTTGCTCGGCTCAGCTTTCTCTCAAACACATCGCTTGTCATGTCCGAGTTCTTCAAGTCTGTAAGGAATTAATAAACTACTACAGTATCTAGTCCCCAAGGTTAATGTTTCATATAACATCATCATAATCCATTGCAATGTACTGTACGGTATTGGTAACGTAGTCAATGCTCGATGTATATTTTACAAGGAATACAGTAGCTCCATTACCATGTTTCCTTACCTCTTGGGAAGGCTATGTCTCCATATTTTTCAAGAGCTATCTGGGCTTCAAGGTAAAGTGCATCAAAGCGATTGAAGAAGAATTCCCATGTAAATATACGGCGGTCAGGGAGACGCGAGCTAAGCTGGTGTAGGGCTTGGATTATCATGGGTCTGTCCATTATCACGCTATCAAACTGAAATGATTTATTTTATTTATCACTTCACTACTTATCAGCTTACTAGCCTTTCAAGTGGCTAATCCACTCTTTGTTAGTTTGTTATGAACTTAACTGACCAGTGTTAGTACAGGAGGAAACTGGAGCACCCAGAGGAAACCTGTGGTGTTTGGTAGTGAGAGTCACATGTGTCTGGGCCAGGCAGGACTCAAACCCATGACATAGTGGTGAGAGATACGTGCTGTACCGCCAGCACCCCAAATGTTAGAACAATTAGATCAAGTAATCAAACAAGAAATGTGTCTGTCTATCTATCCAGATAATTAAAGCCTTGTACCTCCCAGGAAATGAGGAGTAATTACATGTAGAACCAGTCCAAATTATTTCAGTATCTAAATATCTATTGCATCTCTGAATGTAGTAAACTTTTAACAAACAAAAGTACTCACTGAAATACTTGTACAGGTACCTTTCAATTATGGTTGTTTGGTTTGTGCCATTTTTAGAATAACACATGCAGTCCATTGACACTTTTTTTTGTGTGTGTGTATGGGCTTATGTTTGGAATAACACGACCACTGACAAACATAATTTCTAAACACATTCGTTCCACAAAACGGCAGGAAATGACATCCTCATCCATCACTGGATATTTTAATACCATAACAACTGTACTGTACATATGTGTGAAGATAAAGAGGAAAATCCCACCTATGCTTCAGTAGTCTCTGTTGGGTAATTTCTTCTTGTTCACTTTATTATTAGAGTAGCCATGTCTACACTTAACACATCTCTCTTTCACTCTAACATTCCTTTCAGTTCATCAGGACACTCAATTATTCATCCCTAATCTTTTTTGTACCAATTACATTTATTATGTTAACATCTCAATTTGATGCTCTTCCATTTTTACATGTTATCAATATACTCTTGACACCTCAGTGATCAACAATGCTGTTAATTAATTATTTTCGTGCCTGCACAACTCTTCAACCTTCTTTAGTTCATTAGTATAAAAACCAGGCAACTTATCATCCAATTGAAAATAAAAAAATCTTGTATTTACCATACAGTATAATACTGTACTTCTAGAACAGAAAATTCACTCTTATTATAAAGGTCACTGAATCTAAACCCTATAGACGTTTATAGATTAAAAGTTTAAAATATTTTCTTAGAAAAGCCATAAGAATAAAACTAGGAAACTTGAATAACCATTTGCTCAAAAAGTTATGATAACAAACAGAAACATTATTACCTGTTGTTCGAGACACCAACAAAGAGCACGAAGCCCAGCATCAGGCAAGGTAGTGAGATAGAGATATGCTCGCTGAGCTACTGCCACATTTATATCATCAAGGGAGGCAATAAGGAAGCAAAATGCATGAGCAATGGCTGCTTGAAGTCCTGGGCACTGACGAACAGCAGACATTCCCAAGAACCGACCAATGACGACCACTTTTTCAACTGTAAATGAAAATCACCTCAATACACAGTAACTGACAGATACAATATTATTACCTAGTCCATCCTCCATTACTTTTACTAATGTTCCATTATGTTATACTGATGAGCTTCAAAACAAGAGAAGAAGGATAATAATACCTGTAGCAGAAAGCTACTATCTCTGCAGAAGGATTTACAACTATATTGAGTGGATAGTCTAGTTGCCACAAGCAGTCTTGATGTTTCATTCATGTAACCTTTAGTGATGATGTAGGGGTAAGAACCGTCGGGACAAACGGCAAAAACGAAAGATTGATCCAGAAGTAACTTTTTCTGATGGAGCACTTAGATGGACAGCTCAGAAACTCTCTCTCCTTCCTTGGGTTCATGATTAGTCACCTAAGATGGGCAGCTTAACTTGACATGTCATGTCTTAATTTGGTAAACTTCATTCTAATAACAGTACTGTAAGTCTTTAACCCTTTACAGTAATTTTATTAGATTGAAGTTTATCAAATTAGCACATGACATGCCAAGTTAAGCTGCCCGTCTTTGACTCGGATTAATCCTCGTCTGACGTTAACCAAATAAAATATTAAAAGTGGCGTTCCGTACTGAAGGGACAAAAGGGCAGCAGTTGCATCGTCTCCCTCATTTGAAGGAATGGTGTGATGGGGAAGGAAGGCCTTTAAAGGTCAATTGTTGGTACAGTACAATATATGCAGAGATTGTTTGATCAACCCTGATTGAGGCATAGAGGATGTTTGAGATAATAAACACCCTAATAAGTCGACCTGTACAACTTGAGTTGCCTGGGAACATGCTTTGCCAAAATAAGGGATTTCAGGATCATTTCTTATTACTGTACATTCTTCATGAGCTCAATTATCTTCAGTAAGTGATTAGAAATCATTTCTTTTATACTAAATAATATTTCATAAATCCAATGTTTGCACAAATTTATCAATGGTTCCTCTTAGTTAAGAAGAGTTTTGAGATATCAGTACAGTATTTTATATTATGTTCTGACACAACTCAGGTCAGAGTGGGGACAAAATAATATAGTCTCAAGTGTAATACAGTTTTACACATTAGGTATTAAGTGAGTTACTGTGAGTACAGTGCTGTACATAAAAAGAAATACACTTCAGATCGTGTTACTAAAAAGAAAATTTGCAGAAATTTGTCCCGGACAGTCAGTTAAATGTACATATATTACTGTAATTTATCCTAATCAACATTTTTGTTATCAAATACCATTTTAATATAACACTAAGAACTACCCACCTGCTTGAAAGCGGACTTTCCAGTCTTGATGATTAAAGTGATTTTCACAAAGCTTCCAAAATATGTCTGAGCCACAAGGAAGAGTGACAAAGTGAAGCAACAGTGACACACAGACCTCAGCAACGTGTGACCACTCAGCCTCGATTAATGACCACATTCTGAAGAAGAATAAAGTCAAAGTACAAAAATAACACACAGTACAGTACAGTACAACATAATAAGAAACACTTCATTGAGATTGGCTATTACTATATATCCTTCTAGTACACAATGGGTAACTTACAATATATGAGGCACAAAGTATTATTAACATTTCACAACCTATTTAGTTTACTTAGTAACTTCCAAAATACTATACAGTACAGTACAGTACAGTACAGTACAGTACAGTACAGTAAAGCACAGTACAGTACAGTACAGTACAGTACAGTACAGTACAGTACAGCACAGCACAGTACAGTACAGCACAGCACAGTACAGCACAGTACAGTACAGTACAGTACAGCACAGCACAGCACAGCACAGCACAGCACAATACAGTACAGTACAGTACACTACAGTACCGGTATAGAAATGTTCAAAACTAAACAATTTACTGTACTTACATTCCAATGGATTTATTTTCTTGGCACCATATAAGAAATCCTCGATGATCATTGGCAGCATGAGCCATGGCCTCACCATGTAGCACAAGGTACTTCAAACACACACAGATGTGGTACACCACGTCACCATCCTCAAACGTTTCTAGTCGCTGATAGAACAATCAAGAAATATGTTTTAGACTCTCGGCATCAATCATGAATAGCGGTGCAAACGTTTTCAGTCAAAATTAACACAATTAAGAAGTACAGTACAGGTGTTCCTCGTTTACAGATCATTCACTTACTGATTTAACATTTTTAACATCCTTTCTCATTTAACGATCGGCAATTTTTGGTTTGGCGATTTTAGACTCGCTGAAAAAAAATCAGACGGGAAGTCGGAAAGCTCAGAAACTAGTTCGCAGACGAGGAATTGAAAGAATTTTTCGGAAGAATTCTGGGCCAATTTCCTTTCCGGCTATTGGAGAGTTCCGGGGATTCTGGCTAACAGGGAGATTACTACAGTATAGGGAAAGAAAGGGGATAAATAAGGCAGGGGGGAATTTACTTACATTTAATAATGTATAAATAACTTGCAAGTGAGGAGGAAGGTCTTCTATTCTGAACTTGAACTTGCCCTGAGAAGTGACCCAGAAATCATCATCATCATCATCAGTGTGTTGAGTGGTATCAATAGGTTCGTCGTCTTCACCCACCACACTCGGCTTCGCTACATTTGCTGTTGCGTGAGCTGGAACAAATACAACACTAAATTAATCTTGACAGAGAAACCACATAATACATGATCTGACCATAACACCTCAGCAAAGACACTTTTCATTCAGTTTTCCAATAGTAAAATTTTTCCTTGCCATTTCCCTAAGTATTTCACTAACCTATAAATATAATTATGAAGAACTAAATATCAAGCTACATGTACACAATATTAAAGGAGAAGAAAGAATGGAAACAGAAAATTTTCTTCTTAACTTACCCACATCTTCCTCAGTTAGTGTGACTGCCCGGGCTACAGCTTTCACCACATGTTCTTGAGGTATGTTAGGAGCAATGTCTAATTCTCCAACCGTCTCCACAGTTGCTGTAACAATCTGAAGAAACAAATTGATTGCAGAAAGATTTCTATTGTTTGTATTGTGTGACAACAACCAGGGTCTAATATCACCACACTTCTGGACACACAAATGTTCATTAAACAGTGAAAAATATGAGTTTAAATAATATCACTGTTCTTCTTGTGTCTTTTTAAAAAGTTGATAAAAATTAGTCAACATTGGGTAAGTACCTTATAGTCAAAGACTGTATGGTACAGTACAATGAATTTGGGTAAAGTTCCCTGCTCAGACTCAAACCTTGAAGCTTTGCTGTAACTTTACCCAAATTCTTCATCATGGGTTTCAGAACATAACACCGGAGTGACGCGACTCTTTTCTTGGACTGTACATTAACATTTGTCCCAAGTAACTTCTTCATTAACATTATTTTAAAAGATTTTTATGTAAATGGTGAAAAATGGGAAGAAATGCTCGGACAAGGTTTTAAAGAGAGAAATGTGTCCTAGGAGAGAATTCGGTAAACAGGATTAGATAAAACTAAAAGAACAAATGGAAATATATTGAAAAAAACATGGGATGTAAAGAGAGACAGAACAACTGTTAAATGGAAAGGAAGACAAATGTACATTCATCCTATCCAGAAGTGGAAGGAATGAAAAGCACTAAAGAGAATAAAGAACAGCAATATATAAGGGGAAATTTTAGAAAAGAAAGGGACTATAATACAATAAATCAGGTTTTAGGAATAAGACTAAGAAAAAATATTAAATATACAGTATAGACGTAAAGCAAAAGCGAGATAAGGTACGGTAATACCTGAGGCATGTTAGCCATCACAGACATGAGTCCTCCTTCCTTAAGGGGCGGCAGCTGATGACAAGGTTTTGGGGACTGAGTATAACTTCCAGTCTGAGCATTTTGAGTTGATAATTCAGGGCTTTTGGTGGCTTGTGAAGATTCCATTTCTTGAGGAATAATATCAGCGACCTGATGGTTAAATGATAAACAAAATACAGTACATAAATATCTGAAATACCAAAAAACACAATATGAATGATACCCACACAAGTATGTCAGCATACAAAAATTCATACACACAAGGACATACATACATATGCAACCAAACTCTGTAATCTGACTATGTGACCTTTCAGTAAGTGCCAACACACCATAACAAACAGTACTGTCATAATACTGTACAGATGCAATAAATACTTTTATCATCTACATTTCTCTGTTCCTAAAATGTGTGAATGGTTAAAAATTTAGGAACTTTAAAGTACTGTACTTAAAATATCTTGGAACCCTAATGGTTCTATGACATTTTGGTGCTTTACATACTAACCTTTAAATACTGCAATGTAAAAAAACCACTTTTAATCAAACTTACAGTTACTTGAATTACAGATACTTTGGAGTCTATTCTCTATTAAACAACTAGGGATACTTTGGGTATCCCGATGTATCTCTTAAGTTTATCTCCAACTATTACCATCTTCTCTCAAGGTCACATTCATCACAAGTGTCCATACACAATATAAAAACTGAAAGCTTCCTAAAGTTAACATTTATCATACATCCTCTCTGTACACATGAAGACAGCATATAATGTACAGTACAGGGTACAAGTGTTTCCTTAGATATACCATCCATGAAGTGTTCTTCATTTTGTGCTTGTTAAACCTCCTGCGTGAATCTTAATGCCACACTCTATCACTTTTTTCACACTGAGAGGTGACAGATCTAACAGAGGAACACTCACCCGATTGTTCTGGATGGCAACACGGGGACACAGATATGCTACAACATCCATCTCTAGCTGGAAAAATGCTGTTGTGAGTTCACAAGTAGTACACTCTTGTTCCCCATCACAGGTGTGTGGGGCCAGGCAAGAGGCACTCAGCATGTCACAGACAAGTGCCATCACTGCCACACTCTCTTGACCCTCAACCCCCTGGTGCTTCTCAACTTCTTGTACCTCCATCTGTTTAATGTTCAAGACATTTTCATCAGCATCATCAATTGGTGCAACAAAGATGTTCTGAACTGTCTAATATCACTGAAAGCACATGTACAGCGTACCATGTTACTTTTAATAAATTAAAATTCAATTTGTAGATGAAGTACATAATTATGAAGACATCCAAAGAACAACCAGAGGTGAAGCCCACCTGCTTAAACAAAACATCCAGCATGAGAACAAAGCAAGTGAGGTTGAGCTCGGGGTCTGAGTAGTGGTCCTCGGGGTGATCCGAGGGTGGCCGTTCATCCTCGGAAAGAGCTGAACTACTGTGTGAATCATCTTCAACCACAGGCTCTGGTGATAAGAAAATGTTGAGTACAATAAGTAGTTTCTGGCAACAACTATAACAGTACAACACTGGGGCTAAAAGATGGAAACTGTAAATTTGTTGTTGAACTACAGGTACTGTTCCTCTATGTTTACATTTATGGCTACAACCTCCATGGATGACTTTGTTATTACTCCAACACAATCTAGAGTGAGAGTCAATAATTAACCTTTCAATGATACTGTAAACACCTTCCCTTCCCAATATATCTATATATCTTTTATTAAAAATTGGATCCTCGGAAATACTAGTTATTATTTAAGGCAGAAGGGTATTCTAGTCTCAGCATGTCACCCTCTCACCCTGTACACTCAACAACAGCCACAAAATAGGAATTCACATCTTACATTTAAGCATCTCGCTGCTGGACCACCTAATATTTATCATCCATTTCACTACACACGGGAGACAGCTTAGAGTAACCAAGATCCCACACTCCACTGACCCCCAAAAAAAAAGAAGCCAAGTGGCATATACAAATATTTTCATAACTAACTCACCCAGCACTGATGAATCTTGTTTACCAGAGGAACTTGTCTTTCTTGTGGGTGCTGGTGGACTACACAGCGATGATACACCTTCACGGAATATCATTAGCAGTAAACTCATTGGAATTACAATATTCAGAGAAGTCAAAATCTGAAAATAGCAAACCAGATCATATTATTAGTTAAAACATGTATCTGTCTCCTCCCATATCTTCACTTGTGTCTATTAAACTTTGTACCTATGTCTAAATACAGTACATCTTTTCTGATCTGTGCCTCTAGTAATCGTTCTCTCTTTTCACCAATACTGTACTGACTCATCCATTCCTCACCTAATAATCCCACTCACCAACTTATTACTACACTCTGAAACCAATGTATTTGCTTGTCTATACCACAGAAGTGACTTTGTATCAACCACTGCCTGAAATACATGAAAAATCCCCCGTATGAAATAAGCAACATCACATGTACACATATCAGGTGAATGAGTCAGTGAGTCCATCCTTTGTCATTCTACCATTGTTCCATTAATCGAATACAAACTATATTATCACTACAGGTCCACCACCAATTTTCTGGCACCCTTGGTTCCAAAGCCATGCTGGATTATCAGTTTTGCTGCACCAACCGAGGTCAGGAAATAATAATTCAACAATACACCTCTGACCCACTAATGATACACCTCCTGTGTCTCTAAAGCACCATGGACTGCTAGAAACTTAAATTAAACAAATATTAAATGTAAATGAAATGCGAAAAAGTCATAATTTTGAGCAACATTACTGGACAGTACACACTTTGTACACAAATGTACTACACTAAACTAAAAAATTTATCTCTTGTGCAAACTACTATGTGATGTTTATACTCAAATTAATCACTATCTTACAAGGATTCCAACAATGCAATTTATATTCTGCCAAATCTAGTCAGCTACATTTTATAAGATGAAAACTTTAAGCCTAAAACTACCTTCACCTTGGCTGGGAGGGAAGTTAAGTGCCCTCTCATAATTTTGTCTGGACTAAAGGAGGTGCAGGACCATCAGTTCCCGGATAATCGGCGGTGTACCTGTACTTCTTAACAATTTTTATGTGAGTAGGATCAAAGGAAGGGAGGAACCAGAAGGGGAGAGTTCAGCAACATCAATAAAGAGAGCAACAGGATACAGCTACAACAGTGAAATAAAAGTATAAGTACAGTATACGGTACATATACATGTACTGTATATTACCTGTAGCCACGACAGAGTTTGTTCCTGGACTGAGCCGCTGGTGTTGGTAAAACGAACACTAATAAACTTGTACATCTGTGTTGCATCAAATCCAAGTGGGCTCATGTCAGAATCCAACAGCTTGCTAAAATGAAAATATTTAGAAAATCAATATTTACAGACAAAAACAAAATTATAGAAGTACAGTACAGGTAATTATTAAAAGTTCCAAAGATAGAGGATAAAATACAGCTACTCCTCGACTTACGACGTACTCGACCTACGACCACCCGGACATACGACCGCCTCAGTCGTACCAAAATTTTTTCAAATTACGTATTTTTGAGTCCCAACGTTAGTGATTGCGCTGTGTACTGACAAATTTTTCATTTGTAATTCACTTTAAAATGACTGGCAAGCTTAAAATGAGAGTTTTGTGGTGCTGAGAAGAAAAAGAGACACCCATTTTAGATTTTCTATGTATTATTTAAGCATTTTCAACTTACGACCAATACGACCAATTCGACTTACGACCTGGGTTTGGGTCCCTAACCCCGTCGTAAGTCGAGGAGCAGCTGTAATCTGAACATCTCCAGAGAATGAACAAGGGGCAAGTAAATCAGAAGGTGGGAGAATGTGAGGGCGTGAGTTATGTGGCACAGGAGGAAGTGAAAACTAAATAAGAAATGGACAACCAGAGTGAGACACATTATGCTTGAGAAAAGGAGTGAAAATGGAGATGTGTGTGTGGAACTGTACTGTAAAGGGATAGACAGCGAGAGGTGGCTTATTGTACAGTTAACCACAGTCACAGTGATTGGCGTGTTTTGTGAGATGTGGCAGCTCTGTTTGTTTACATCATATAAAAACTCCCAGAATGACCCAAACGAACCTCACAATAGTGGCCAGACTCAATCAATATACCAATCAGAGTACGGTCCTCATGTCTGAGGGTTGGCGACCACAGTCCTCCACTCTAAACGTTCTCGGGCTGTTTTTACTAATCCTCTAAGGTTTTGTATCTCTCTGGGGACACAGCTTTTAATTTAATTCATCCATCCCAGTCTCTGCCTTCCCCTGGCCCTCCTACTTTCACCTTGGTCCATTTATATTTTTTATATTATTCCCTTATTCTTAATTATGTGACCAAAGTATATATTTTCTTTTCCTGTTAATTTAAAGTGTTTCTCTGGAAGATTTTGCTTATCTTAGTTCTGTACTTCTTCATTTGTTTTCCTGTCAGTGTAGCTTATTCTTAGCATTTGCCTATAACATCACATTTCAAAGGCCTCCAACCTCTTTCTGAAGGCTGCTGAAAGTGTCCACGCTTCTGACCTGCCTACCAATACAGCAGCCATTAAATTTACTGTACTTCCCAATTAATTTCTTGGAGTTGGCCCAAAGAAACACAAGATTTTACCCATAAAGTCTACAGGATACAACAATAACAACATTTGTCTTACATTTTTCAAGTAAGACAAGTGGTGCAATGTATAGATATACCCAAGGAACTTAAACAACAAAGATATAGTCAGGAGAAAAAGGAATATTAATAACTACTAATACAAACAATGTAAAGGTAAACTACAAAAACTTACCTAAGTGTTATTTTTAGTTCAGGTAATTCTTCTTCTGGTATTTCATTATGAATGGCTTCCATCCAGTGAGGCATAACGCGGTCCCACACTTGGACTGTAACTAATTCATACGGCACCAAGCAAAACAACCGGTTAAATCCTTCTTTAATGTGATCAGTTCGGGTTGCAAGTGTATCCCTGGTAATAAAAATAATTAACAAGAGTAAGAAACCACTTTTCATACTTTTTCAATAATCAAAATCTTACATAGACAGTATTAACAGTGCCTGAAGAAAGTTCACAATGGTTCTTTATATAATTCAAGGGGATATATGTTGAGTAAAACACATGCAGTATTGTATTTCCATGACACTCTAAATATCTGGAACTTAACACCTCACTTCCTTCATTCAAGTAAGAAAGACTAAAAAAATGAAAGGATTATATTGGAAACAAATAAGATGTGAAGGATTTTTACTCTTCCTCGTGCAAACATATACCATAAGTCAAGTGTCATGACCAATGCTAAGGAATGCAGGTAAAAGGAGCTTGGAGTTTTATTCCTCCTGAAATAATTAGAAACTGATTCTAAATATTTCCCAGGGGTCTTGGTTCCCATGAAGACTCTGTCAACATTAAGAGAGTCATACTGTATCTTCAGTAAGGTTTACATCACGTTGAAAGTTTACTATGAAAATTAAACACAACCGGTATGAATACCGTACGTACTCCATTGGATGAGGTGTGTCTGTCCCAGAGTGTCAGTTAGAGGGAAAAAAGAGATTGAAGTTTTAAAGTAAAGACAACATACCAGTGACCTCCAACTCTGGCATATTCAACAGGATGAGGCATGAGGCAGGATACAAACACCTCAAAGTGAGTCTTGCACACTTCTTGAAGCCAGTTGTGGATATTCTCTGACTTAAGCCTTTCAATTGCAGTTCCTTGTTGATCTAAAATATTATTTACAATTACCTTTTAAGTCCATGAATAAGATGAGCACTTATAAAATATGCTTTAGAGAATAAATACAAATATTATTACCATACAGTATACAGTACTGATACCAGTACACTAATTGTTATTTCAACTGAAAACTATAAATATATAAATAAGTTCAAGCATACTGTACAAAACAGATGAGGCAAATTAAGCTAATTTTCACATAGTGATTAAAGGGAATCACTACTAACCATCTGGAATATACTGTGTGGCATTGAACCAATGACACAGAGCAGCTATGATACGTCCTAGCATCTCGATAGGTGTATCTGGTGTCGGAGCACACAAACCCACGACCAACCACACACCATACCGACTCAATAAGCGGCTTTCCTCCGGAGATAATCCATCACTCTGTTTAGGAATTGATCAGTACAGTACAGAACAGTACAGTGTAATCAAGAAAGGATGCAGAATGATGAAGAAGGTAAGAGAGAAAAAGGTGAGGTCTAATAATGTCAAAAACCTGGATCAAATTATGTCATATAATTTGAATGTGAGAAAAAAATCTCTAGTAGAGAAACATCTGTATGACTATACAGTGATGCCTCGGTTAACGAGCGCCTCGGTTACCGTATATACTCGTCTATAACCCTCCCTCGTTTATAGGTTGACCCTGATTTTTTACCAAGAAATCGTTAATTTATGATATTCATCGTTTATACAGAAGGTCGACCCAAACTTTTGGGGGTAATGGAACCACAAAACCCTCAATAAAAATGCTCTACGTCCTATAAACTGAGGCTCGCCATGCCTGAAACACCGAGTGCCGAAAGCAAATTGTTTACCATTTATTATTACGACACTTTACACTGAAACACGGGTAGTTTCAACAAAAATATTGTATATTTCCATTCAAGTATTTATTCAAATCAATTAGGAGGGAATATTATTGTAATACAACAGTTTTTTAACTGAAAACCATTCGAAAAGCGATTACGGTAACATCTTTTGAACAAAAGAAAGAGAAAGTAATTGTTTTCGTCACGATTTTATCCCACTTTCCACTGTAATACGTACGTCATTTCAGCAAAAATATTACATTTCCGTGAATGTATTATATCAAGCACAGTATGAATAGAATATCACTAATATAACAGTATTTTAACCGAAAACTATTAAAAAAAAGAGTAACATCTCTTGAACATCGGAAGGTTAGGTAAAGTCTTTTGTTTTCGTCATTTAGTTTATCCTAATTTACATTGAAATACATCACGTTTCAGCAAAACTACTATTTATTTCTGAGAATATGGAAATGTAATATTTTTGCTGAAATGACGTATGTATTACAGTGGAAAGTGGGATAAAATCGTGTAATTTTCAGTGAGCTGGAACCAAATACCCAAAAACCCATTGAAACAATGGTTTCAGGTTAACGAATTTTTCGGTTAACGAACAACCTTCTGGAACGAATTGTGCTCGTTAACTGAGGGACCACTGTAGAAAGTTTATAAAGAAGATATAAAGGACGAAAATATCATGAGATTCCTGAAGTGGACCAAGTACAGTACAGTACAACACAGGACACTAACCTTATCAATATCATCCAGGAGACCAGCCCTGTTGAGCCGGTCCTGATCCTTACATTTTGTTTTATCACCAAGGGGTTGAGCTTCATTTAGAAGGCTGTAAATGAATAATATCATAGCTTTAATACAATCATCAAGCAATAAGTTACTATAATATATGAAGCTAATACTGTACTGTATGTTAGATAATTCTATAACTGTGGTTGATATTGTACCAAAGTCCTAACACCAAGCACTGTATTATTTCACAACTTACCTCACAATTGCTTCAATGGTATAATTTTGCATTTGTGGCTCCATTGCCCAAGGTGAACCAATGGTTGTATGCACAATGTGATCAGTCCCGCGTCGATTATTGTGGCGAATGTTGTTGCACTGACTACAGTATCGAATAGGTTTGTTACCATTGTAACTTGCACATTCCATACTAAAACATGTGGCAATAGCATTCTTCTCAGTTGACCGACAATTCTGAAATTAGTAAGAACAAACTTCCTACAGTATGTATTTTGAATAGAGATAAAAATTATTAATAGTAGCAAAATGGAATTATTTCAATTTTGATTTCATACAAATTAAATAATTTTTTTCCCATATTAAATAATTTTTTTCTAGCATCTCTTAGAAATTCAGTCGTAAAGTACAGTACAGAATACTGTCTCTCCATAACTCATAAGTCAGTGCTGATCTTCCCTATGTCTGACTGAGACTCTTAGTCCTGAGAAAATTTGCCACAACTTTCACACTTTTTTCTTAACATATGACAGGAGAATCTCACTTAATGGTGCACTCCTGTAAACTAGATACAGTACTGTATCTATAGTACTTGCTCCAGTCATAGTGGATGTTACATAACAGTATGAACCATGTCATACCTTATTCTCACATGTAGCTGATACTTGAGCCATTGGCATAAGAATATCAAAAAAGTCAATAGTGCAATGTTCTCTCTTGATGTCCTCAACACAGTCCATACAGATATAAAGAGGAGGAGGACTGTCTGGACATGCTCCCAGACAGACAGCATGATCAAGACAAACTTTGACAGCTTCATTGGTACCATCACCATCACATTCTTCAATCTGGCACAGCAGAGGCTTCCAACCTGTAATAAGACCCTCGCCTTAGTTCACAGAATAAATACTTAGTCTGTTCTCATGTTGTGCAAAATAGAACATTTGATATATATTATTGACAAATCATTTAGGTAGGAGATAAGAAAGTAATTCCTGTGTGTCATGATCGTCTTATTGTTAGCAAAAATTTCCTTTGAAAAATCCTGAAGCTTTATGCATCAAAACTTTTTAAAGGGATGCAGTACAGTAGAAGCTTTTGATATTGATATATAATGAAAGAGAATTACCTAATATTCTCCTACATAATATATTACATTTAAGGTACTGTATAATAACCCATAACTGAGCTTTTGTCATTTTTAGAGAACAGACATTGCTGGAAGCTACGGACTCGTCTGAGGATGTAGAGATGCTAAAGACATTGTAAATATTTGTCAAACTCATTGTTGATGGAGGAATTCTCTTTATCAATAATTAAAAACTTTACACTTGATAATAATGAAAATAAGTAAGTTGAACATACAGAACAGTATGTGTATAAGCTAAGTAGAGAATTTGAAGAGTAACACATCTTAAATGCTATACAGTATAATATATATATTTTCTGATATGATATACTGTATAGTCTTTGTAAAGGAGTTTTAAAATCTTATGTGAAGCAGAAATGTTGTTTTCTAACATGACTAAGATGTAGGTGCTGTACATACACTGTACATCAAAGCTTTTAAGTTGAAACATCTGTATTAATGAATTATGTCTTACAATACTGTATAATAATACTGTATAATCCTACAAATAAAGACTCACCTACAAATGGTATGCTAGAGTTATCCATGTAGTTTGAGGTGACATGTTGCTACATAAAGGATTTGTGCACCAACTAAATCTTATGAAAATACAAGTTTTTTATGCTAGTGACAATGTCAATTAGAGTACAGTACAGTACTGTACAGTATGAGTTACAGTCCCAGTATTTTGATATATCATATGCATACATAAAGCCTACCAACTGTAAAAGATAATGTGTACCAATTCAACTAGGTGTGTGTGTGTGTGTGTGTGTGTGTGTGTGTGTGTGTGTGTGTGTGTGGTCAAAATATGAACAACAAAGTTTACAAATATATGAAATATAACACAACCATTATATTCTTCATATAGCCTGAAGTCAGTACAGTACAGTAAAGACTCCACTTAAGAGCCTTTGTCTTTCACATCCTTTCCTACTGCAAGTAATCTTCAGCCAAACTATGATCATAAAGTCTTAATGTACTGTATTCCATTTTTTTACTAGTCTTATATTAATTATGTAACAGTTGGCTACAAGAGTGTCCCCAGTATCTCAGTAAAGTGGAGCATTGAGACTGGATGACATGAAAATATTCTACCGATTTGATAAAAACTTGAATGAAAACACAAATTTTATGACAAATTCTAAATACAGCGCAGTAATGTACTGTACGATCATTCACTTTATGAATATTTACTTACATGAATATTCTATTTGCACCATACAAAAACTACACTCACTTATAACACTGATGCTTCCTGTAGGTAATGTACTCTACTGTACCAAATTTTCTGTACAGTACTGTATATTTTATTAATTTGTTAATGTGTTAAGTATTAAATTAGAAAAGCTAAATATTCATAGTAAATTACAAAAGTTAAGTACGTACAAATTTACAGTACTGTAGTTAGGTACAGTACAAACTTACTGTACAGTATTTTTTTTTTAACCATTCTAATTTTTCAGGTATAATATTGGAGATTCTTGTCAATGGGGAACCAAACCCTATTTCTCCCATATATTAAGTTATTCTCTATATGAACATTCACATACTGAAGGTTTTCAAAGAACCTAACCATTTGGATAGTGAGGGATGCTGTATGTGTCAATACTATTGGTTTTGTTATTAAGAACAGTGAGTGGAAGTTCAGTCTTAGTCTCAAGATTATAAAAATTATTCATTTATAATTATAGTGTTAATAGGTATGGTAATACTATGGGTGTCAGTCGAGACAACTAAACATCACAACTAGATGAATAAACACCCTAATGCTATCTGGGGATAAGGTTAGGTTAGGTTAGGCTAAGTTAGCATTAAGGTGTTTAATTAACAAGTGAAATAAACTGGGGTGTCTAATCTTCAGGTGATCCCAACCTTGTTTCATCACCTTAAAAACTGAAAAGACATCAGGTTATGTAATGTTGTGTTAGGTTTACTTTTCACTCCTGCAGAACATTTCCCACCATGGTGGAGGGTGGCAACACTCTGTCTGTTCTAGCTGATTTGCCAGGTGTATAGTAGTGTAGTAACCCTATATACAATACTGTAATTAATATATTTCAGTAAACTGTACTGTACAGTATACAGTGCTCCCCTTTACAGTGTTTTGCTCTCTACTTGAGTTCTGGTGTTCAGTCTTTCAATCATCATCAACTTTCTCAACCTCCTTGTATTTCTTTCATAATTTTATAAATTATTTTCTTTCAGTCTTGTACAACTGTACCAACTGAAGTGTTAAAACTACCTTGAAATATTTTTACATACAGTATGAATTACCTTACTCCTCTCTACATTTTGGGACTGTGTTCATACACAATAAATATTTGAATGCAGGACAAATATGTTGGTGTCTACATGAAGACAAAAAAGATACACTAATGTGGTGGCAGATGGTCAGTACTGATGCAATAACAGTTTTTTTAACCATAACTGCATTAATTATTAAGCTTTCTGTATTTTTAATAACTGTTTTAAAATAATTTGCATGAAGGAATTATAGTAATAATGTATGCACATGAAGAATCATTATCAATGGTCTCACCGACAACTATTATAAGTTGCTTCCTAATTAGAAACAGGTCACCTGTAATATACTTGGTTTATAATATGTCATTCCCTACTATAAAACCAAATAGATGAAGCAAAAACTAATCTACAATAATGAGAGGAGTTTTATTATGTTAGTACAGTACTGTATAAGGTTGAAGCCATCATTAACCTGGGCATCACTTCTATACATGCACCTTCATGCACAAGTATAAGGATAAAAGCAAGCTCTTATGCATACTTGAGCCATGCCTTTAATATATACCATATTTAATGCTCTGACATGCAACATTCAGTTGCATAAATATACAGTAGTCACAAAAATCATCAGAACTAACCAGTAAATGAAGAAAAATGACAGAATGTGTTGTTACACTGTTGTTACTGCATCAATAACATTCTCAATACAGCATAGTATAGTATAAGAATTCTGATATTTTCATACAAATATATCAGAAAAGCCATTAATTATAAGAATATTTATAATAATAAAGATAAAAAATAAACTTTTTCTACTGTATCCAGAGTTTGTGAAGAAAACCCTAATCTGGTAACACAAGTAACAAGTCATCTGAAGGGGACACATCCCCTGGCTTTACCATGCAGTGTAAAGAACACAAAGGGTATTTACTCTGGCCAGATATCATCAGAATTACCATTTTGACAAGTACATCACTCATCACAACATTTATAAGAATTTTTTTATTATTGTTAGATGAATCAATTATACATTCGAGTACAGACACACAACTAATGCTCACACGTACACATAAACTGACTATTATATCACTTTGTTCATGATGGGGGTTGAGGGATTGTTTGGTCTTGGCTGCACAGTGGTAATGCGCTTATCTTTCAGTACTCTATCAAGAGTTCGAGTCCTGCTTGACCCTATCAAATATCACAGGTTTCCCGAACTCCAGTTTCCTCCTATACTAATACTGGTAGAGACTTAAACTTGCCACCCGAGACCACCTTTACCATCCTCAACACAGGTAAATAACAATCTCAATTTATGCTTTACTTTGCTTATTTAAGGCTTATTCTGCTTGCTTTATATGTCTGCTTTATTTTCTTGCTTGACTGTGTGCACGACAAAGATATATCAAAGGTAGATGGGAGTTTTTGGAGGGTGGCTGGCCCCTAACCTCCGTGCTGGGAATCTATGCATCTTAATTCTCTTATTTTACCTACAGTATTGCTGTTTTTAAATGCACAACATCCCATCATAGTGCACTTCCCTCATAGTCCTACTATTTACATTAACATATCATTCCTTTAAAAGTACAAATTCTGTTTCATACAGGTACAGTAGTTTCTAAATTTTTCTATAGCAGGTGGTCCCCGGGTTACGAATGGGTTCCGTTCCTGAGTACGTTCTTAAGTCGGACTTGTACGTAAGTCAGAACACATGCTATGTGCATACCTTACTTACAGAACAATGTTTAAAATCCCACTATATCATAGCTTAAGTCCTTATATACACCTAAAATCACTTAATTTAAGACAAAAGAAGAATTAGAATAGCAAAATACAGAAAATGAAAGTAAAATATAAGTCATCAGGTAAATAAAATACAGGTACTGTACTATAAATTGCAAGTTTAACCCCGTTCGTATCGGCGGGTGTTTTGAAGTCGGGGAACCCCCTGTATACTGTATAGCCCAAACAATAGTAAGACATTCTCTTTCTATACCTGCACAATTATTTCCCTTTCAAGTAAAATTCTTCTAGAAAAAATATAGGCATGAATACATTGCTAACTCCCTAGAGTAATACAGTCCCTTAATGGATATTAAATGCATCGGTTCCGAGGTAAAACTTTTAGAACAGTCAGGTAATAATAGAATAAACTTCTCTGCAAGTTTCTCCTCAAGAGTATTGAAACTATGAATTTTGATCATCACGCCAATCAAGTTTATTACTGCTAAATTTCTTTGTGAGTGAGTTCGGTGGGGCAGCAATATCTGCAAAGTTTGGAATAAATCTTGTGTAAAATGATGATGTGTCCAACAATGATCTTAGTTGTTTCTTAGTGACTGCTAATGGTATGTTAACAATAGCAGATAAGGTATTTTGTTTTCCTGTGTAGTGAGACAGTTGTTACCGAGAAAATCCTAAACACAGTCCAGTATTACCCCGCTTTACGCAGTTTTTTTTACGCGTTTCCACCTTTACGCGGTACCCTGCCAGAC